AGAGAGAGAGAGAGAGAGAGAGAGAGAGAATTTTTAATATTTATTTTTTAGTTCTCGGCGGACACAACATCTTTGTTGGTATGTGGTGCTGAGGATCAAACCCGGGCCGCACGCATGCCAGGCGAGTGCGCTACCACTTGAGCCACATCCCCAGCCCCAGAATTCGGTTTCTATCTTATGAATTTTATGACCTTTTTATCTAACTGAAATATTCCTGCAAACTACAAAATCAGCTGAGATTCATGTGGCAGACTTATTGAACCCAATAAATATTAAGCTTTAACTTATTAGTAGCAATGTAACTATATAGAAAATGTCGTTACATTATATTTAAAGTTAATCTTGGAAGGAAAAACAAACTTATTTCCCAACTATTTTTTTTCCCTGAATGGGAAGCAACTAGTTTTCTCTATAATTTACATGTAAGCATTTTTAAAAACTTTTTTCCCTCTTGTTTAGGTAAATGATTTTATCTTACTTCTAGTACCACCATGCCTGGTTCCTGTATTACAGTAATATTTTTGAATACTTTCAGAGCAGGTTTTTCTTGAATTTCTAATTCTTCTACATCACCTAGGGGAAAAAAAAAAAGAATTACATTATGTATGTAATTTTCTAATCATCTTTCAGAGGCATCACTTTATTTGCTTATAGAGATGGATTAAATAAAGCTAATAAATAATGGAAACTTAATAGCATAATGAAACAGCTAGAATTTATTTTAATTGCTTATAGCAATTAAAGATATAAATACATATTATAAAAACTCATGTAGCTAGGTAGGATTTACTCTGAACATTAAAGATTTTATTGGTAGCAAACTTCAGTGATGTTTAAACATCTATGTTGGTACAAGAGATCTTGCCTTCTGCTAGCATCTTAACACACCAGTCATTTTACCTCTGACTTCATAAATTTATTCACTGCATAGGAACATTCTATTGTTATTCAGTATCAAAATTTTCTGGTCTTCTTACTATCCTCTTAAACAAGGATTAATTTAGACATATTTTATTAATTTTTCTATGTTATTATCCATAATCCTAGTGTAAGGGTTAGAGGTGAAAAAAGATTTTCCTTATACTGGTTTGTTTAATGGTAGCAGTTTACTATGTGTATTCTGATGGAAAGCAATTTTATAATCTGAAATATCATTGCTTTATTAGAAAGTTCCTGCCTCTCATTATATTAATACATAAAAATATGTAACTGAAAATGATGAAAACAGATTGAGTGGGCTTATTCTCAGTGGTCTTTGGCCAAACCCATTAATTCTTATAAAACCTGCTAAATAGATCAGTAATGATGAAACTAGAAAATCTGTTTGACTCAACCAAGAGAAAAAAAGAGATAAAATTTAGATATAGTCAACTAAAATATATTTTAAACACAAGGAACAAGACCACTGATATTTTTAGAGTTGTAAACACATTAGAGATAAGAGGTATCATGGAATTTAAAAAAATTTATGAGTATATTTTCAACTAAAGGTGATAATATATATGACCATTTGAAGTACAAATAGACTTCTGAGACAATTATCGAAGCTAAATAAAATCTTTTCTCAGATGTAAAATTACCTTACTAAAAGAGGTAAAATAATTAAATGAATTTCCATAAACATACCTGTCAATTTCTGCAGCTGGTAATAGAGCAAATTAAAGGGCCCAGTGTATGGTATGGCTTGGGTCTGTTTCACAGTGCTCATGGCCAAATCGGTATAATCTGAAGAGAAATTAGAGTAAACAGACTTTAAGAAAATAATACTAGTTTCACCAAACACTATTTATAAAATACCAGGGGTTAAAAAAAACAAGTGCAAGCAAATTAAACAAGAACACACTTCTGAAAGCTATCAAGGTGCTCCTACAAGTCCCTGCTATGGCCTCTTACCCTGCTAGTTAAATTGGGTTCCAACTCTGGGTTAGCAGCCTTGCCCTCAGAACCATCAGGTTCTTGGACTTCTCTAAGCAGTGCGTAAGCTGCCGTCCACCTTCTTTTCTGCTTGGCCAGTGTTTCCCAATTTGCAGAGCTCTTGCCATGGCTCCAGGCCAGCTCTCCTCATACACCCAGCACTTGACATGTGCCTGAGCTGTACTGTGATGAGCACTTTCTAACACTGCTTCTCTCATTACACTGAGCTGTAAAACGCCATGACTTGATAAACCTTCAGTGCTTTAATAAACCTAGCCCCCTGCAGGGCATAGGAGTAAGAGCTCACCAGGTGGTGAATGAAGGAACAAGTTACACACTTAGCTGTGATACTTTGAAAGCTGACAACTGGCCTGCTTCACGTATAAATTCCTAAATACATCTGGTATTTCTTATTCCTTAGTAAAGTTCTTAAAATTTACTAGTGTTATACAAACATAAGCAAACACAGTATTTACTTGAAGATAGTATTATTAGGAAAGAAAGTTCTTACCAATGGCTTAGAATTTATACCAACATAGAACTCAGTAGAAATGTTTATAAACTTCAGGAAAAAAACAACTTATAAACTTAAATCCAATCCTGTCTTGGTGCAAACCCCCATTTTTCTCTACAATGTTACTTGGTTGATGTTACTTGGATGATGGGCTTTAATTTTTTCCCTTTAAAGAAGATTTATGAAAGATTTTGTTTCTTCATCCTGATCGATGTTTTGGAATGGTGGAGAACGAACAGATCCAGCAAGTGATGTAAAACTACAGATTCCTTAAGCGTAGCTCAGTGGTAGAACACACACTTTACCATGCATGAATCTGGGTTTTATACCAAACAGAACAAACCAACCCTACAAATGGTTAAAAAACAAAATGTACACCTGAGAAGTACAAAGTTACTTCAGAAAATAAAAACACCATGCACTGATGTAAAGGGTAGAAAACAGTGGTATGAGGTCAGTAGGAGTGGTCAACCTGAGAGAGGCGAACATGACCTCAATTATGAAAAGAGTGACTTCGTAGATAATTTTAATGTTTCAGTGGTTCAGAAAAGATTTCTCCACAAAGAAATCTACTTATCTATTTTTATTTCATTATTTTGTTGTTACTAAATATTTGGCCACTAAATTAAAGAGAGGTTTTCATAGATTTTTCTTTCAATGCTGAGGTCAAATAATATCTGATATTGAACAGTATACTTACTGGACAGGTCACAAGGAGAAAGTATGTGATAATTAAAGTTTCTTTTAACAAGTATTCCTGAGACCCGTTGGCCTTGTTCTGGTTTTTTGTCTGCTAAAAAGCCCATGACCTATTAAAAAAAGAAGGAAAAAAAAATAGAATGCAGATATTTAGGCAGTCATTGACAACCACTAGACCTTTTAACTACAAAAACAACATGTGAATTTAACTTTGAAAATTATAAAACGCTATATTTTATATCTCTATGTCCAGGTTCATGTCCAAGCCTAACAAATTCTCCAAGAGAAGATCCATAGGGATGGATCTGGCAAGAATGGCTGGGTTCAGTTCAATTCCAAACAGCTCAACAACAAAAGTTAATGCTTTATTTATTTAAGAAAATTTTTTTGTGGTTCTAGAGATTGAATTCAGGGCATGCCAGCAAGTCTTCTACTGCTGAGCCATATCCCAAGCCTGCAATGCCTTTAAATAACTAATATTATCAGAGAACAATACTCTAATAAGTTGTTTAGCTTTTCCTGATCTCAGTTCAATGTGGTGTCTCTTAAATTATCTGATTCCAAAAATTCTTTTGTCCCTACATCACTTCCAGCAGAGTTTTGAGAAATACAGTTCTAGACTGTTCCATTGAATGTATTTTTCTATAGACTTAAAAGAAACATCATGACACTGCGAACCATTAGGATTTAGGCGCTGGGGCTCAGTGGTAGAGCACTCGCCTAGCACTTGCAATGCGCTGGGTTTCATCCTCAGCACCACATTAAAAAATAAATAAATAAAATAAAGGTATGTGTCCAACTATAACTAAAAAAAATATATTAAAAAAAAAAAGATTTAGGCACAGATACAAAACACTTGCTCTTCTTTGGAAAAACCTCATATCCTAAGTTTTGCTAAGTTTTGTTTCCCCTCCATTCAATTATAAGAAAGGCTATTCCTCAGTTTGTTTCTTCATGCCTGGCTCATTATGTATTAAAAAAATGTTGTAAAGTTAACATGTCTGATACCTAAAACTTCATATAAATCATTTAAAAGCTGGCCTTAAAAGTATCTTCAAAAGATTTTTGATCAACAGAGGTAAAAATGCAGGCTTCTCTAATGAATCCCTCTCACATGCCAGGTAATGTTTTCCTTAACTATTTCAATTTTAAATTCTGGAAGTATATTTCACCATCAAAACAATTAATTTGGGGCTGGGGTTATGGCTCAATGGTAGAGTGCTCGCCTCGCATGTGCAAGGCCCTGGGTTTGATCCTCAGCATCACATAAAAATAAATAAGATAGGTTCGGGGAGGGCAGAACATCACGGCAGAGGAGTGGCATACAGTCATGAACACACTTACCTTCCAACATGGGGAGGGGAAGAAGCTGGGGCTGTGGATCGGGGAGCTGTCAGATTCCACTGTATTAAGACCTAATCTACCTGGAAATTTCCCATCTGAAGAAATAACTTAGTAGAACAAAAAGCACCAGGATAACATCTTTGTAGTGTACCAAGTAGGAACGAGTATTCATCTTGATTTCATTAAAGAAGGTCCATTTTCTTAAGAAGAAAACACACAGCCAGGAATAGAAGCCACCACCCTTTACCTTGGCTAGTTTTTCTCCTCTGAAGTTTAAGGTCACAGCCTCTGTATTCCGAGGATTGTGAACCTCTATGTGAACTTCATCATTATCTTCATATTCTCGAATCAGTGCTGCTTTCAGTCTGGCCATTTCATTCTGTTCTCCATGGACTAGAATCTACACAGAATAAATTTTATTTATTTATTTTTAATAATTTTTTTAGTTGATAATGGACCTTTATTTATTCATATGTAGTGCTAAGAATTGAACCCAGTGTTCACACATGCTAGGCAAATGCTTTACCATTAAGCTATAACACCAGCCCCACCAGATAAATTTTTAAAAAGCACAAGAAACATCTATTGAGATAAATAATGGCCCATAACTTCATTAATTAATTTCATGAACTAGAGATACCCCTGAAGTTATGAGACGTCGCTGCTTTTAAGGATCTCTCACCAAACTTATACAGATTTCTTCATTCTGCTTGGCTTTAAAAGTTATGCAGAACTACTTTGAGAGTAAAGAAACTTCTATATCACTACAAAGATACATGACTTTTTTCTACATTTCTAGCTGTGTCTGTGCTCTCATTTGTAAAGATCTGGACCAGGTAACCTCCACAGCCTCTGCCAGCTTTAGATGCACATGGTTAAACTACTACTACTGCTCCTGCTATCTCAGGAAATTTTCTTCAGATTTCCTAGTTTGAGACCTTTTGTGTATGTAGTACTGTGGATTGAACCCAGGGGTGCTCCACCACTGAGATACACCCCCAGTCCTTTTTTATTTTATTTTGAGACAGGGTCTCACTAAGTTGCCCCAGGCTGGCCTCAGTCTCTAAAGTCACTGGTATTATGGTGTGGGCCAACACAACCAACTTAATTTTAAGACTTTCAAATGAAGCTTTTGTGAAGGTCGGGGGTGGGATATCCTCTGATATCCCCTTCTGTTTTTACAACTATCATACTGGCGACCAGTCTTTCTGCTGACAAAAAGGTCACTCCTTGCCTCTAGAGCAATGGTAGAAGGTTTTCGTCTGACTCACGAAGCATGGCCAACATGGCTCCTATGCAGAGATTTAGCACTTAGGACATGGACACATATCTTGGCCCTGCTGCTTACTATTTGTGTATCCTTGGCTAAGTTACTTAACATCTTGGTTTCTTATTTACAAAACAGATATTGGAGGCAGGTGCGGTAGCACTTGCATCTAAATCTCAGTTACTCAAGAGGCCAGCCTCAGCAGCTCAGCCAGACCCCAGTCTCAGAAAACAAACAAATAGCACCACCCCCCTGAAAAAAAAAACCCAAATCAGCAGTTGGTTATGATAGTTAAACAAGTGGATTCATATAAAACATTAATATGCCAGATGCAGTGGTACAGGCCTGAAACCCCAGGGGTTCAGGAGGCTGAAGAAGGAGGATCATGAGTTCAAAGAAAGCCTCAGGAATTTAGCAAGGCCCTAAGCAACTCAGTGAGACCCTGTCTCTAAATAAAATACAAAAATGGGCTGGGAATGTGACTCAGTGGTCGAGTGCCCCTGAGTTCAATCCCTGGTACCAACAAAACAAAACACTAATACGGTACCTGGCACTTGACAAGCATTCAATAAATGCTACCTATTATCAACTACTACCACCAACACTATGAGAATTATAATTTTATCATGTAGCTATACTTTTTTTTTTTTTTTGCAGTACTGGGAGTTGAACCCAGAACCTTATGCATGTGAAGCAAGCAATCTACCACCGATCTACACATCCAACCCGTAACTATACTTTTGATACAGCTAGTTATTGATGAAGGTAGATATCAAGTTCAACCCAAAAACTTAAACTGTAAGCAGAGATAGAATCTGGAGTGATGAAATGGGGCTGAGGACGAGGTGCTGACAATGGAGGAAGAGAAAACAGCTTTTCCTCCTGGGCTTAAAAATCCTAGCAAATGTCTATGAAGCACAAATACCAGAAAACACACAGGTGGCGTCTCCACTGTACTCAAATTCTACAAGCTACATACTAAGGAGGTGAATGATTTTCTCCATCAAAAAATCTGCTCATTAAGGGCCAGTGGCAAATTCCTGTGTGGACAATCATGCTAGAAAGAACTAAAATAAGAGTACATAAGAAGATGTTGGGGAAATGAAACTCAAAGCTGCAAGGTGAAAAACTAAGTGTCCATCAATCCGTCAGATAAATGGATAAACAAAGTATGATATTTATGGAATATTACTCAGCTATAAAAAGCATTAAGTTCTAATAACATGCTATAACATGGAAAAATCTTTGACACATCCTAAGTGGTAATTCCTCTTACATGAAATACCTAAAATAGTTAAATTCAGAGAGACAGAAGATAAGAGCTAACCTGGGGTGGAAGGGAAAAGGTAACTAGAAGTCATAGTTTAATGGATACAGAGTTTCTGTTTGAGTGATGAAGTTTTGAAAATAAAGACTGGTGACAGTTGTATAACACCGAGAATGTGGTTAGTGCCACCGAATTAAACACTTAATATATTCACAAAAGGAACTTCAACTATTTTCTACAGATGCATGTTCCACAAGTGTTCCTCCTTTTAAGAATACACATTATTTTCAGTTTATCCTGCTAATTCCACCAAAACATATAACCATTATTTTTAGGATTACATGAAACTTAAAAATATGAGTAATACTAATGAGCTATACAGTAATATGTTTAATATCTATTTAAATCTTGAATTTTTAACTATAAGGACTTACCTCTCTCCTCTATCCAAAGTATTCTTACATTACTTAATATTATTTCAATCATATCCTATAAGTGCTTTAGAGATATGTCCTCTCATTCAGCCTTCCCAATACCCTTGTGAGGTATTATCATCCCCATTTACAAGGAGGTTAAATAACGTGCCCAGGTTAAATAGCAAGCTAGGGATGGAGGAGATTCAAAATAAGCAGCTGGCAGTGCAAAGGCTCTGATCTATAAATTGCCTGCTACAATTTCTTGGATATGCTCCCCCTATAGCTATTATAAATCTCTCCCATAAATATTATAAATCAAAATCAGAGACTAACCACATGAGGCGGTTTCAAAGCACGAATAAATTCACTGGTTTGCTGGTAATCTGTGTGAGCAGAGAAAGAAATGTAATCAACAGACATTTTCAGTGGTAACTTCTGCCCAGACATGGTAGTGATTTCTTCAGGTTCAGACATGATATGCTGTTAAAAACAAATACAAGAAAATAAAACAAACTATCCAATTAGAAAAAGAAAAGGTACACTTCCATTTTTTTTTCATGCAGCTATAACTCTCATGTTAAATTTAGAACCTTCAGTACAAAAAAATCATTCAAACATTATCAACTTAGTAAGTAATAGTCATTTTCTTGGTCAAGTAAACAGATTCTTTCTTTCTTGTTAAATGTATTTGGAATGTTGGCAGTGAAAATTATTACTCTTATGATTAGAAGGACAAACCTGTATTCCTAACTCTCCTACTATGTAGTCATTTCAAACATCAGGATTTATATAAGGTAAAGTAATGAAAATGATCAAAGTGAGAAACTGCATTGTATTTCTTTTTTTTAAAGAATTTAACCTTTATTTTATTTTTTATTTTTTGTGGTACTGGGGATTAAACCCAGTACCTCATATATGAGAGGCAAATGCTCAACCACTGAGCTACAACCCCAGCCCCATGATATAGTATTTCTTTAGATAAAATAGATATTAATGGTAAGAAGAAAATGGGATGGTTGGATATTTACAAATTGCCTCTGAAATTTTGCACACTTTTCTCTAATGTCTACACCCTTAGGAGCTAACTTTGGCCATTGTATACCAATGGGAAGATGAGCAGTCAACCAGGCACATTCTTCAGTTTTTAAGAACACTTCACAGGTTAAACATCTCTACTATGAAAATCTGAAATGCTCCAAAATCCAATGCTTTTTGAATGCAAAAAAGATTAGGAATGCTCATCTGGTGAAGTCTATGCAAATGTTCCCAAATCCCCAAATACCAAAGTCTCCAACACTTTTGGTCCCAAGCACTTTGGGTAAGAGATACTCAATCTGTATTAGTAAAACTCTTCATTAGATAAAGATCTTCAAGCATTTGTCTCAAATAGGCTCTTAACCTTCTTTTTTCTTTTTACTTGCAACCATCTGACCACTTCTCACATTTTAATATATGCCCTAATCTCTTCAGGAACTTGTTGTGACATTCCGTGTCTAATTCTTCATCCTTCAAACATCTTCATCCTTCAAACCTACTCCTATCCTTATTTGTTGAAATCAAAACTTGTATTTGTTAAAGAACTACTTCAATGGAATAATATATGAGGATATTGCTACCTCTGCAACTCTGATTAGGAGTAATACCGTACCCTGAGACTATAACTGACCTTGGCAAGTGTCCCCTCTACACAGTACCCTGCTATAATGACACCATTCCTCTTATCAGTACACCAGCTTTCAAACAACTCTCTGGATAAGCCACTTTGCATCATGCCAGGAGAGGCCATTACAACACTGGGACCGATGTCATCAAAGTGGTCCATGCTCTGAAAAAGACAAAAGATGGCAAAAGCATGTTAACTACCAGGGCTTGACAAAGCATTCCTCATTTTTGAAGAATAAGAGTAAGGTAAAAGATTAATCATACTATGGAAGGGGCTGGACAACACAAGTAAACATTTTAACTCCAACTGCCAAACTCCTAAACACCTTAGGCTAAGAAAGAAGAAAACAAAGCAGTTGATCTTCAAAGTTTTCTATGTATAGCTCGAGGGCCAAGAAGACCATTTTCAATGTGCAAGCAGGCAGAAATTTACAGAGTGAAAGGGTTTTTACCCACCCTGGAAAAGAACCCTAAAAGAATTTTTCAGAAGACTCACAATAGTTTTAATGAATATTTTGAGTATGTTTGGAAATCTAACAAAAAGTTTAACACTATTCCTAGGGAAAACGTGACTCTAATTTTTAGTTACCTTATAAAATAAAGTTTACAGACAATCCTATTTAAAATTTGAAGACCATTTACAACTTAAATTATTTTGGACATTAATTACTTTATTATGATGAAAGCATCAATTTGAATGAAATGATATATTTTAAACTAAATTAAACCAGATTTTATTAAATGTTTTGAAAAGTGAACATATGGGAATTTTCATATATGGAATTTGTAGTACAAATCAAAAAGATGTTTAGGGACCTGGAGATGTAGGTTAGTGGTAAAGCAACCAACTGCTTAGCATACACAAGGCCCTGAGTTCCATCCTGAGCATCATTAAAAAAAAAAAAAAAGAAAAAAGAAAAAATTACATTGAAATGAGAAAAGAGAATTTTAATACATAACACAAGATATTTTTCTTATCAGAGTTTTTTATTCCTATGGTAGAAGAGATCCAAGTTATTCAGCAATTGCAAATACTGGGAACTCTGGAGACAGAAGCAAAATTTGGTTAAGCAAAAAATAAATGCCAGCTGCTAAAGTTCTGAAGTACTGCAGGGGAAGGAAGTCTACTAGAGAAGAGCCAGACTTCTGCAGGAGGGATTCGCAGGCCCTCCCACCACTGAGAACTGACCGTCTTCTACCCATCAGTGCCCCTTCCTTCCACAAGCACTCACCTTCAGGTTGCTAATGTGTTTGAAAACAAAGGGATTATTGATGTTGATCTGCTTTCGGATTTTATCATTCATGGCATTTACATACGTCTGGTACACAGCCATACACTTCTTGGCCAGAGACGATGCATAATATATTGGGATGTCATGTAGTTCTGGGTGATTCTGCCAGTACTCATCTGGAGCCATTTTACAAAAAACATCAGTTTGTCATGTAAGTCATTCAAACAGAACTTGGTACCCATAACGAATTTTTTAAAATACACACAACCATGAAATAAAGTACATGTGTCTATTTAAAGAGTTCTAAGAAAAAAATATCCTGTTTCTACTAACTTAAAGTTACAAATCCAAACTTATTTCTAACTACTGGAATAAGCCTAGAAACAGGCTGTGATCATTGACCAAAGAAGTGGAAGGTTTTACAAATTATTCAGTGTAAGTTTATACTGAATAATAAACGATAACTTAATATCCTAGAGAGATACTACATCTTGTTATGATTTAAAAAAAAAACATATCATTACTAGTTCAGACTTATCACAGGCTAATTACAAAATATGACTTCCAAAAGTAAACTGATTTTAAACACTTAAAAAATTATAATTACTTTATCATTTTTTTAAAAAACTAAGAAGTAAACCATTTCTGAAAATTAATGAAGCTGTGGGCAGTACATCTTCAAATGAAGGCTTATTTTAAGGGAAAATTCTTATGAAATCCCACAATTTGATAAGGCAGTATGGCCAAAACACAATTCATTGTACTAGATGCATCTACATAAAGGAAATGTCTTAAATGCCTACTATGTAATTTATAATTATCATTTCTAAATTTTCAAAACTTTATCTCCATTTTATAGATTAGAAAAGTGAGACTAAGAAAACCCTGAATAGGTAGCATTGTTATTTTTTACATGTCTTAGTGATATGTCTACCTAGGGGCAGGGAATTTTCCTGTAATGCATGCTGTGAATATATTTCCTGGTTCATCCCCTGGCTTAGCTTGTTAGGTTTTATTAGATGTAATAAAATTTTTAATAGTGTCAAAAGTTTTTGACATTTTCTGTATGACTTCTCACATACTGGGTAAAGCTGACTGTATCTAAAGATCACATCACAATCTACTGTTTCTGTATTTTTTAAAAAATATTTTTTTAGTTGTAGATGGACACATATCTTTATTTCATTTACTTATTTTTTATGTGGTGCTGAGGATCGAACCTAGTGCCTCACACATACAAGGCAAGCGCTCTACCACTGAACTACAACCCCAGCCCTACTCTTTTTTGTATTTTTATGAACAAATTTTGAATAGTGAGAAAAAAAGTCAGGCAACTTGCCCCAGGCTGAATGGCTGGGACATAATGATGTGTGAAAGCAGTAACTGGAGTGGCTGTCCTCTTTCTACTTTGCCTTGTTGGAAGGACAAGGGGCAAGGCCACCCACACACAAAGAGCACTGGTACTTGAGCGTGTCATGATGCATGCTTTGACAGTGGGGCTGCCAGATGAAAGTACTAAACACCCACTTAACTTGAGCTTTTGAGAAACAACAAAAGATTTTTGGCATTATAACATTAAATATTTAATTTAACACATTAAATATTTGGGACACCCCTACTAAAAATGTTACTCTTTATTCATCTGAAATTAAAATTTAACTGGACAACCACAGTTTATTTGCCACAGCTGGCAGCCCTGGAGAGGGCAACACCTTATTTTGTCCCAACACCCGATTCTTCACTTTACTGGTTATGAAGACTTCTCATTTCAAGTCCTCTAAAGACTGATTTGACCTGCAGTTAGAAAGAGGACCAATCAGGACCAAAAGAAGACTGGACTGGATTAGGATTTAGGAAATTCAGCATCCAGAACGTGTCTGTCAGATTTGCCTTTGACTTGGGATCACTGATTTCATCTTCTCTTTGTTTCTCTTCCTTTCAGCACAAAAGGGAAAATATTCATCATTGCCATCACAGTGACAGCTTAGGAGGTGACCCACTTCTAGTTCTTTGTAAGAAGTTATATACACATGAGGCATCTATGGTACTCTGCCAGAGTACTATCCTCAAATAGAATTATAGGGGATTATTTAGCATAAATGTATGTTAAAAGTGACACCCACTGTTCCTCTTATTACAAAAAGTCATATATACTCATTGCAAAGTTTGGAAAATAGAGAAAAGCAGAAAATGAACTCATTATTTTCCCACTATCCAGATTTAATCTTTCCAGTCACTTGAATGTTTCCTAGCTAACTAGGATCAGAGTACATATAGTTGAATCTTACATTTTGGTTTACACTATGTGAAAATATGCAATAACTCTTCAGTAGCATAGTTTTCTTTTTTCTACAATGTGGTATTAACTGACATGATAGTTCTTTAAAAATGAATACCCTTACTGACAAAACTTTCTGTACATCTTGCTTACTTCCTAGAAGTCAAGCTGCTGTAAAAGGTTCTGCATATCTTAATACCTCTGATACTGATGGCATCCAGAAAGGCATGCTGACCACCAGCCCAGTCCCAGAATGGGGGAGCTGCTGTTTCTCTGGGCTCTTACTAGCACCAAACCCTCATTTTTTTTTTTTTTTTGGTACTGGGAATTGAACCCAGGAGTGTTTAACCATTGAGCCACATCTCCAGCCCTTTTTATACTTTATTTAGAGACAAGGTCTTGTTGAGTTGCTTAGGGTTTCATTGGTGAGGCTAGCTTTGAATTCATGATCCTCCTGCCTCAGCCTCCCGAGCAGCTAGGATTACAGGTATGCACTACTACACCTGGTATCAAATCCTCATTTTTAAATGAAAGAAACTAAAGTCCAGAAAGGTCAGGTGACATAGACAAGGCTATGTCATTTGTCTTGGTAAAATGATGTCAGATTCTGATAAACACCCAAGTGCAAAGGAAGTGGCATACCTAGAATCAAGAGCAGCTCCTGAGCCCTTCCGAGGGCAAAGACAGGAATGAGCCCTCTGCCCCCTCTGTTTACAATGTCATGGACGGTGTTACAGAATCTTGCTTCTCGCTCCTCACGTTTCTCATGGATATGAGTCCCATAAGTAGATTCCTAAATAACAGGTTAGATATGTGAGACCAAGACCAATGATCCCCAAAGAATTCAAAAGTTAAACCTTAATGAAATCCTGAGGCAAAGAGATTCACTTCTCCATTAACATGCCATTTACTTGAACATATATTACTATAATATTAATTGGAAAGAAGTGCAAACAAGAATGTTAGAATTTGGATCTAAGTAATAAGAGCATTTTGGAAAATGGAATCAGGGAGAAGTCCACATATATACAAAAATGTGTCTTCTACTCTCAAGATAATTTTGCTATGATTTTTCTCTTCCTCCTCGGAGAAGTTAAAGCTTCAAACCAGAAACAAGTACTGTTTCTTAATCTCTTGTTCAAATATATGCCCTAATGTCTTACCATGTGTGACCCACTGGCATCTCCTAAGGCACAATAGAAAAGCAGAATCTCAGGCTCCAGCCTACAACTCTGAATCCGTCTTTACAACTATCACCAGGTAATACACGAGCACATTAAAGTTCAAGAAGCACCGCTCTAAAACACCAGCTCTAAATCACAAGAATAACTACTTGTTTTGAAAATCAAAACACTCAGTTTGCCCTTAAACTAAGGTTAGTTTATATGCTGAGTAGGGCATGAGCTGAGTCCCATCTCTGATCTACCCACCATGTGGCTCTGGGACTGCAATGGGCACTAACCCCTCATAACTGAGAAGGTGGGAGCTTCTAGAAGTGATGAGGGAGAAACAGTTCTTTCATTCCAAACCAAATGCACTTGATGTTCTTATATATACCATAGGCTCAAAAGGTCTCTCCCACTTCCAGACACCACTGTCCCAAGACACATTGTTAAATTTGCACCCACCAGGTCCCCAACAAGTTTCAGCACACAGTCATTTTATCTTGCTTCCTTGGTACTTAACAATCTAACAAATAGACAGGACATATGATGAACAATGTGACCAGCAGCCTGTGCCAAGGCCCAAAAGACAGTCACCATGGCAAAGGCAGTGCATCTACATCACTTTTAAACAATCTTTAAGATGTCCTACAAATTTGGGGGAAGTGACATAGGCCAAAGTACTTAGGAGATAAGGAAGGACTACTCAACTAGAATATCATGACCTGAGACAGTCTAACATCCGTCACTGACATTAGACCACAGCTAATGTGAGCAACAGAAGAGGGTGGAAAGAACTACAAAGAATAGCCAAATAAATTCTTAAACTATAAGCCCATAAATTTATATCCAGTAACATTCTGAAAATGAGATTATGTTTCTTCCTCACTAGAAAAATTCTGCTTATGTTATACTAATTACAACACATTCATTATTACTTACAATAATAAGAATATCAGGCTTGATATTAGGAATTTCAGCTGCCATTAAGTGTCTATCTTCTTGTCTTGAGAAATCACCCGTGTACAAAAGCTATGAAAAGATAAATTTGTAAGCAGGATTTGGGAAAGGCTTCATTTTGTCTCTTCTGTCTTCTCCTCCCCTCCCTTCTCCTTTTCTTTCCCTCCTTCCCTTTCTTTCTTCCAGTACTGGGGATTGAACCAGGGACACTCTACCACTGAGCAATATATTCAGTTCCTTCTTTATATTGAGATATCATCTTGCTAAGTTTCCTAAACTGGCCTCAAACTTGGGATTCTCCTGCCTCAGCCTCCTGAGGGGCTGGCATTACAGAAATGTGTCCCCATGTATAGCAGAGAAAGCTTCATTTTGCTAATGAATATTTTAATCTTGTGAAATCTAACAGTAAAATTAAATTTATAAAAGCCTATACCTGGTAAAATTTAGATGCAATGCTTACGTCTAATTCATTACGTCTGACATAGTTAAATCATTAAATCTAATTAATGTGATAATATATCTCAGAATTATCCCACAAAGATAAAGGGACATGTTGGCACAGAAAGGAATCTCCAGAGGTTCTTGGGAACATTGTCTAAAATGAAAGATAAAGTCAAAGAGTAAACACATCAAATTCCAAATGAAAGTTCAAATCTGCACTTTCAATCTTTTCTGCTTATTTCTTGTGGCCTGGGGCAAAGTGCAAGGATGAGCAACTTGATATATTATAGAATTCAACAAGTAAAAGTTTCAAATATATGAGCAGTTATAAAATACATTTAGGAAGACATGACACTAGAACATTGGTTCTCAAATCAGGTTGTAAAAAATCATCTAAAAAACTTGAAAACAAAAAGTCAAGTCCACCTTTCCAGATATTATGCAACGGGTTATTTCCCAAAAGTACCCTAAAAATTCAAATCAAAACTACACTGAGATTTCATCTCACACCAGCCAGAGTGGCAGTCATCAAGAATACAAACAATACGCCAGGCATGTCGGTGCACTCCTGTAATTCTAGTGGCTTAGGAGGCTGAGCCAGGAGGATCTCAAGTTCATAGCCAGCCTCAGCAATTTAGCAAGGCCCTAAGCAACTTAGGAAGATCCTGTCTCAAAATAAAAAATAAAAAGGGCTGGGCATGTGGCCCAGTGGTAAAGTATGCCTGGGTTCAATCCCCGATTCTTAGGGAAGATGGCTCTTCCCTAACAAGTTTCCTAATGTGACTGAAAAAGAATCAATCCTATGGTGTGCTAGGGAACTTATTCTTAGAGATGCTTATTTTACTCTGTATTACAACAGAGGAAGGAACTGTCATATTTAAAAGGAAAAGTGCTGACTTGTGTTTCAGTGATTTGGCACTCTGCAAATCTTAGGGAATTTTTAATGCCACTTGGCAGCATAAAGTTTTGCACTGATATCACTTATGGAGAAAGGGCCAGAGCTAGAAAGTACCTTTACACCGGCGATCTCAATCATGAACATGGCTGCTCCCAGGACGTGACCTGCATGGTAACACCAGAACTTGATTCCTGCAACTTCCTTAACTTCATGGAAGTTGATGGTTTCAATTTTGTCCATGCTTTCTTCCAAATCTGTCTCAGTATATAGCATGTCGTCTGCTGATATGTTACTAAATTTTCAAAGATACCAAGAAAAGAATTAAGGGTAAGATTTTTTAAAACTTTTTTTTTAACTTTTTTGAGTTAAAAAAGATTTTTTTTTTAACTCAAAGAAATTATCTGTAGATGACATATCCATGAAGATTTCCTAAAAATTTAGTATACAGATTATGCTATTTAGAATCTGTCTGATATTTTATGTATTTTTTGGCTATGATTATAATAAAAATATTTAGTGTACATAGCTACAAAGCTTGAGTGTAAAAGCAAAGCACACAGTAAATTAAAAGTACTATTGCCCTTTTGATTTTGGAACAGGATTTCACCAAGTTGCTTAGGGTCTTGCTTAGTTGCTGAGGCTGACCTTGAACTTGTGATCCTCCTGCCTCAGCCTCCTGCATCACTGGGATTACAGGTTTGTCCCACCCGCCTAGCAAAACAAAATATTCTTTTTAAGATTGCATAATCTCAACTTCTTTTTCTGCCCCAACATTTCCAAGAGATATGACACGCATGCATGCACTGACCATGCTTAGTGGGAAAAGAGTTCTCTAAAGTCTACTTAACTTTTTTCCCCCCTGAATTATGTTACTGAATTTCCAAAACAGCAAGAGAATAGTGATTAAGAACACAGACTCTGGAGCCAGATTGCCTCTTACTATGACCATTTTAGGTAAATCACCTAACCTCTCTGTGTCTGTTTCATCTTCTATAAAATGGGATTTCTCAACATCCGAAATTGGTGTAAAGATTAAATTAGTTTATATTAAGAACTAAGGACTGAGCCTACATGTCATAGGCGTTATTTGTTAACTAGCATTACCATTACTAAGAATAACATTTCAATTCCTGTGTATTTACATATAAAGAATAACAAATAGCGTTTTAGCTACCCTTGAATTAATCAGCTTTTGAAGGTTAGTAATTTGTATTGTAGGTCTCACCAAAATGCTCTAAATTTTCTGGCAGAGAAGTAATGTCACTCTTAGAACTGGTAAATATATTCTCTGGGAACATTAACCAGTTTTTGCTGGATGAAATAGTACATGCATGTAATTCCAGCTACACAAATTCAAGGCCAGCCTGTGTGACTTAGCAAGATTCTGTCTCAAAATAAAAAGGGCTGGGGATGTAGGTCAGTGGTAGAGCACCTGCTGAATATATGCTAGGCTCTCAGTTCAATCCCCAGTACTAAAGGGGAAAAAAAAAAGAGATAGTAAACTTTCTGACACGATAATTCAAAATAAGAATTCAGCACATATCACTGCTTAATGTATCTGGTCTTAAATTTTAATAAAATTACACAATGCTATTTATAGAACCTTTCTATCATACCTTATGATTTACAGCAGTTTAACAAAGATTTAAAAGAATGTAAAATCTATATATAAAGTTTAAAGTCAGAAGGGACTGATACACAATAGGTATTCAATAGGTTGTTATGGAATAACTAAATTACTGCCATCCTTGTGAATAAAGAGAGTGCCTTATTTCAAATACAAAATGATCTGTCTCTTGAACCATGTGTATTGCATAGGCTCATATAATCTAATAAAATAATTTACCTAACTTTGACATAATCCGAAAGAAGCCATCTATAAATAGCTTTTGTGGCATGAGTCATAAATGTTCTTCCTTTGAAACTTGTCTTCTGCAGAAACCAGGGCAAAGCTCCACAGTGATCCAAATGGAAACTTAAAAAGAAACAGAGATTGTGTTAATTCTTAAAATCTTATATGCTACATGTAATGAAATGGTCATTGAATAGAAATTCTATGTAACAATTTTATGAGGATCCTTCCAGAAAACCAAAAGTAGGTATGTGCATACAGTTTTTTTTTAACATATATAACTTTATTTATTTCTTTATGTGATGCTGAGAGCAAACCCAGTGCCTCATACATGCCTCAATCCCAGCCTATGTATAGAGTTCTAATAAAGGAAAGAGATTTTAAAAGCATATACACACAGACACACACATAAATACATAAACAACATATATATAGTTTTTTTTTTTTTTTGGTACTGTGGATTGAACTCAGGGGTGCTTAATCACTGAGCCACATCCTCAGCCCTTTTTATCTTTTTTATTTTGAGACAAGGTCTTGCTAAGTTGCTGAGGCTGGCTTTGAACCTGCGATCCTCTTGCCTCAGCCTCCTGAGTTTTGGGGATTTCAAGTGTGTGCCATTGCACCTGGCTTAAAAGTATTTTTTAAATAGCAAAAATCTTTAAACCTTTCCATAAGTTACAGGAAATAATGTCTATATAGTGCTGTCTTACTGATTAAATGATATAAGGTAATTTAAAGTGCACATGTATATACATGTTTAATAAAATCTGTCTTCCTTTCTGAAGAAAAAAAAAAGAACATAACCAAACCAACTCTCAGCAACCAGAATTATAACACTTTAACAGACCAAGTTGAAAAAAATCACTATTTTTAATTGAAGTTCTTATAGAATAATGTGACAAAATTGTGACCTCAAGGAGATGCCCTATAAAGGGCCTTTCTTCGGGCCACGTTTGATAACAATTTAAAGTCAGTAATTCCTTCCTGCTAACTCACTGGATTATGAGTTTTCTAGACTGTGATGACAAAATGTAGTGTTAGTTTAGATCTAGATATCTGAAATATGCTTCTTAGTGGAAAATATGTAGTTTTAGGAGAGAGGGGGCAAAGGGGTAGGAATGATGGTGGAATGATTAGACATCTTTACCCTAAACATATATGAAGACACGAATGGTGTGAAAATACTGTGTACAACCAGTGACTTGAAAAATTGTGCTCTGTGTGTGTAATATGAAATGAATTGCATTTTGCCATCGGGTATAACAAATTAGAATAATTTAATTTTAAAAAAAGAGAAAAGAAAAAAAATATGTGGTGTTTTTAAAAACTGAAATCTTACCAGGTACAGTGGTGCACACCTATAATCCCAGTGGCTCGGGAGATTGAGACAGGAAGATTTTGAGATCAAAGCCAGCCTTGGCAACTTATCAAGGCCCTAAGCAACTCAGCGAGACCCTGTCTCAAAATACTAAAAAGAGCTGGGGATGTGGCTTAGTGGTTAAGCTCCCCTGGATTCAATCCCTGGTACCCAAAAGGGAAAAAAAAAACAACCTGAAATCTCATAATCTGGTAAAGAATAATCTTGACAGTCAAAGCCCTCAAAAAACCGTATTGTTATTAAAGGAAAAAACTTACTGACTAATTAACAGAAGATCAATCTCAGCTGGGTCAATCAAATCAATATAAGGAAGAGCATCCATTCCTTCTAAGCCAGGGTGGATTCCACAGTCCAACTGAAAAACAAAAAGAGACATCATCTCCTACATATTTTATGAAAACTCTCATTCAGCAAATCAGAAAATGGTGGGCATTTTAAAAGCCCACAGACGAATCACCACCAGATCTGACTGCTGTGAGAAGAAACTAGAAATGGGGCTCTTCCCTGCTCAGAAAAGGCATTAGGAGACAAATTCCTATGGGCAGGTCATTGAGGATTTACTTACCTTACAGGGTATTACTACTAAATCAAGACAATGCATGACTAAAAAGGTGTCAATGTCTGACATATACCCATTCTTTTAAGTCTGGGAGAAGTAGAGAAGAGAAACCAAAGGAACATGAGCCACTGCCTTTCAAATAAGCACCTCAAAACCATCTCTTCTAATCCCTCTACCTCTCAGGCAAGGAAGTGGGCTCAGAGAAGTAGAGGGGCTAACTACTTAGGTAATCCAGGGCTCAATCACCACATGCTGCACAGGTGGCCAGAGCTCTTAGCACATTCAGTGAAGTCCATTACTTGCTGTCTTCCACTAGGGTGGGGAAGCTGGCTTGGCCAGACCCCCTGGGGATGGAAGTGGGGGTGCTTTCAGGAAACAATAGCTCATCAGATATAGTTGACCATTTTATAATCTTGGAATGTTATCTTCTTAGTTTATTTAATGTTTTAACAAATTACCAAGTGAAGCGTATTTAAATTCTTCTCATTAACATTATTCATAGTAGATTATATACACTATTATATTTTTCTGGGAGCTAAACAAATAACTGGTCTATTAGAAAAGATCTAACACACACTACAGAAAGAGCCACACTCTTAACCTCACACATGCTTAGCATGCACAAGGCCCTAGGTTCAATCCACCACCACCACCATCATGACCACAATTACCATTATTTTTCTTCCTTTGAATTCCAGAATAATACATGATCTTCCTACTTCTTGCCCAGCTCCTCTGTAAACATTCAAGGGGGAGAGAAAAAAATGATAAAAACAATCAAACTGAGTCCAAAAAATTTAAAAAATTTTTAATAACTTAAACTGCATCCCAACTGTTATCAGCATTAACTTAAATATTTCAAGACAGATGAAAGTTCTACAAAACTACAAAGTAAGGAAAGAATAGCGTCCACATAAACAAAGATGAAAAGTAATCCTTGAGAGTTTAGGGATTTTGCAGTTGTCAAGAGTGGTATAGTTCTGAGAAACCTGAAGGTTAAATTCAATCTTCTGAATGTTAGGATTAATTTGTGATGTATTTAAAATGTGAACTAGCAATTGTGCAGATTACATAATACTCTTAAATGTGTATTTAAGTAAAAATCATAGTACTTTACACTCTTTTTCTTTAAGATCATAATGAGCATCTACCAAATAGCTTAAAATTACATACTTATTCATACTATGAATTTCAATTCCCTTTCCTTATATCTTGTTCTTTTCATATATTTTATACCAATGTTTTAAATAATTCTCATTTCTATCTTCATAAAGCAACCATAGTTTCCAATTATCACTAGGCACACCTTAACTAAATCTCACATTCTTCAATTCCTTAAGGTTCTTTGATGCCACTTCCCAATCACAAGAGCTCATAGTTCACTCAAAACTCAAAATTAAGCTTACACTTGTTAAACACCATCCAAATGGATACAGAAATGCCTTCTACAGGGACCCTGACCTCAAGGAACCCAGTCTACTAGACAGTCATGAAATGGATCCACCCAAGCTGGGATCCTACCTGAGAGCCAGCCAATGATGAAGAAAATCAAAGCACACATGGGAGCGCCCATGTATTCTTGGCCTGCTATATTGCCTCTTAAGTGGTCCTAGCTCAGACTTCTCTTCTAGCTTCCAGCTAGTTCAAACTTTCTCCCCTTTCCTAAATTTTGCAACCCTCTATTATCCTCCTCCTCTTGTGAGGCATGGGCCATCATCTGCATTAAAATAATAATAATCCAACTTCACTTACCAACTCACAAACATCTTTGCTTTTTTCCATTTCTCTTATAACAGAACAGGTCTCTCTAAAGCAAATCTTCACCCTGAGTCTTCACTTTACATTCTCTTTCCTTCTGGACTAAACACTGCTATCTCACCGACATCTTCCTCACTTACCATCAGAATCTAAACATGCTAGTCCTTCTCATCCTCAAATTAAAATCCCTCAATTCTAATCTCCTTTAGTTTCTGCTTCATTTTCTTCAGTCTACGAGAAGCCAGCTTCCTAAAAGGTCTGGATATTCTGTGACCCCATTTCCTCACTTTCCACCCATTCAATTCACCATCACCTGACTCTTACCAACCACTTCTCTGAAACCTCTTTGTTGTTAAGAGAAAACCTCCACATTTGCCCCCTACTTGTTCCTTTGGCAGCTTTTGTCACCCCTAACTACTTGCTCCTTCTTTGAGCACTTCTCCTTTGGCCTCATGCCCTCCTGTCTTGCTGCCTTTCCTTCCCAGTTTTTCACCTACTTTTGAATGCTGATATGCTGAGGGTTCCCTCCTTGGCCTTCTCAACTTCATGATCTTCATTCTCATGTTTCTGACATGTCCATGACTAACGAGCCTGTTTGTAATCCAGGTTCTTTTCTTTTTTGCAGAGCTGGGCATTGAACCTAGGGCCTTGTGCATGTTAAGCAAGTGCTCTAGCACAGAACCACATTCCCAGTCCTATTATTCTTCTTAATTCTAGATCTCTAATAATATATACTCCTGACACTGGGATACTGCCAGGAACCTCACATTCAATGTCAAACTAGTTTCCACAAGTCCTCTGCATCTATCTGCTCTTTCTGGAATGCTCTGCTTTCAGATAAGATTGGCTTCTTTGTATCTTTAGGTTTCAGTTCCAATGTTGCCTTCTCATAGGCTTTTTCTTGACCTCCTCTAATTTGTTCTTCACAGCAGACAACAATCCAGCATCACTTAGGAATAATACTTACAGCTACATGAAGTTGCTATATCTGTGGCTTATTTCTCACTACGAAAATGGGAGTTTCATAAGAAAAGACATTGTTTTATTTTATTCACTGCTGTACTGCTACAGCTACTGATCAGATAAATCTTAAGAAATGCTTTTCAAATAAATAATTGTGAGCATTGGAAATACTATGCTGAGTGAAAGAAGTCAGACACAAAAGGCCACACATTGTATGGTTCCATTTATATACCTAGAAAAGTCAAATATATAGAGGAGGAAAAATAGGTTAGTGGTTACCTAGGATAGGGGAATTTGGGGAGAAATGAGTGAGACTGATAACTGGTACAAGGTTTCCTTCTAGAATGACGAAAATGTTTTGGAATTAGAGTGAGACCTGTACAATTTTGCAAATATACCAAAAACCACTGACTTGTACTTTAAATGAGTTATATAGTATGTGAATTATATTTCAATAAAGCTGGTACAAAACCAAATTTACTGCAGACCTAATCCACCTTCTGTATTCCTTGAGAATAATATGCCCAACCTAGGAATCTCAATCATCCTTATCTGAATACTCCCTTCTGCTCTGCATTCTAGAACCATCCCTACAGTAACACCTGACCAGTTAGAAAATCCTAAAGATTTCACTTCCATGCTCTCTCAAAGCCATCTCTTCCCAAACCATTTCTTTTCAAGTCCTTTATTTCTGATTAGAGGTTTCATCATTTTACTTGAATTATTTCAATTACATTCTAGTAGATTCCTTCTACTAAATCCACCCTTTATTCATCTGCTACACTACTGCAAGGAGTGATTTAAAATATAATTTCTAGTATATCTCATGCTTGCCTAAAATCCTTTGTTTGCTTCCTTTAAATAATAAATGCCCAAACTCTTTAATATAAGGGGACTTCACATGATGGACCCTGACAGACCTGTCCTACCTCATGTACTAACCTATTAGCCACAGCCTTGAGGATACTAGTCATGAATTGTGAACATTCCTGCCATGTTATTTTTTTATGTGTGCCATGTCCTCTGCCTGTATCACTCCAGTCCTCACACTGTCTTTAATTCTTACTCATTCTTTGGTATGTAGTTCACGCATCCCATTTTCTAAGAATGCATGAAATATCTTTCTCTTCAATCTTAAAAATTCCTTTTTCAGCCAGGCACGGTGGCGCATGTCTGTAATCCCAGTGGCTTGGGAGGCTAAGACAGGAGAATTGTGAGTTCAAAGTCAGTCTCAGCAACTGTGAGGCACAAAGCAACTTAGTGAGACCCTGTCTAAACAAAATACAAAACAGGGCTGCGGATGTGGCTCAGTGGTCGAGTACCCCTGAGTTCAGTCCTTGGCACACACACACACACAAAAAATCCCTTTTCATGGGCTGGAGTTGTGGCTCAGTGGTAGAGTGCTTGCCTAGCACCTGTGAGGCCCTGGGTTCGATCCTCAGCACCACATATAAATAAACAAAATAAAGATATTGTGTCCAACTACAACTAAAATAAACATTTTAAAAAATTCCTTTTTCATACTCTCTCAGCAGTTAGTGCAACGCTTACCTGTGCTCTTGTACGAGCTGTCATTTAATAAGCACCTACCAGGGTCTTTACTCCTTGCAATATGCATTATTATTCCCACATAAGGAAACAGATTCAGTGAGGCTGCTGTCCTACTAAGTGATAGAGAATGAATTTTAGGCCTGACTCCCAAGTAATTGTCTCCTATTTTTCTAAACTCAGTACTTTCCACTCTGCACTCCAGTTGCCTCCAAAATGTTGAAACCAATGAACTCAGCCTTCTGTCTTATTTGTATCCTCAGTGCCTGGTGTAGTGCTTGTCACTTGCTCCGTGTTTACAGAACACACACAGAAATGACAGCTGTGAACTAAACATCAAAGACTTGAGGCTGTGTGCCCAGTAGGGACTCAACAAATCCTTATTGAATGAATGTGTAAAGCAGATACTTTCTACTTTTTGAAAAAAGCACATTCATATGATACTAATATCTAATACTGAACAATAACCATGTTTGCACAAATTGCTCATCTATAGGAATAAGTTCTCTTTGTTTACATTTCCCCTTCTAGTCAACATCCCAGAATGGAGAAGGCCAACTCCACTGAAAGACCAGTCTTCTTATGGGCACTACAGGGCTGAGTTTTTGACAATAACTTCTCTGCTATTTCTCACATCCACTTTCCTACCTTGTTCTGCCAGGGTCGGAGCTTTGAAGGTAAAAAGTCCCTAACTTATTTCCCCTCTCTCACATCTTGGCACCATGTCACGTCCTGGAGCTAATAAAAAACGGATTTAAGGCTGGGTTGTAGCTCAGTTGGTAGCGCGTTTGCCTTGCACGTGTGAGGCACTGGGTTCGATTCTTAGCACCACATAAAAACAAACAAATAAAATAAAGGTACTGTGTCTGTTAACAACTTAAAAAAATTATTTAAAAAAAAAAAAAAAAAGGAGAGAGGCTTAGTTCTTCCTTGCACTGTCATGGCCTTCCCCAGGCCCTCCTGTCACGGTCGGTTCCCTGTCGCCCTGCTCTGATGCGCGAGATGCGGGCAGGTGCGGATAACCCTTCTGACTTGAAGGCACGCGGCGGGATGAAATAACTTTTTTTTTTTAACCCCAACATACCCTCCCCTAAGACTGAAGCCACGCAAATTCCCACTCAACCTAGCAGGCCATTTCCGACCAACAGCGCTCCAAACCCCTGGGGCCTGGCCGGCCTGGCCCGCAGCTGCGGGCGGGGCGACGGGGCCGGCCCGGAGCCCGGCTCGAAGCCCCGCTCGCTCTCACTGGGCCTGCGGCTTCACGCTCGGTCTCGCTGGTCCCTTACAGGGGTCGGATCAGCAGCTGGTCGCTCTCTTCCGCAGGAATTGCAGACATCCTGGAAGTCTGAGGAGGAGCGCGGGTGAGGGACTCGCCGCCGCAGTCTGTCTGAATTACAAGCACAGCCACAGTAACTACACAAGAAAAACCCCATCCACCCAGAGGCAGCTTCCGCCACTCTGGCGCCCGCGGCACCAGGCCCCTCCCCTCGACTTCCGGCCGGAGAGCCGGGGGCGGGGGGGGGCGCCTCCGGGGTTCCGCGCCGCGCGGAGCCCAGGAACCTGGGGCGGGCCCTGAAGTCCGCGCCTGCGCACCGCCACGGGGGCGGGGCCTGGCAGAAGAGGGCAGGAGGGCTGGAAAAGGTGGCGCTGGAATTAGAACTGGAGTACCCGCGTGGGTGCTGTCGGCTGGGCGCTCCAACTCCAACTCCCTGTGAGGCGCAGGCGGCCCGGGGTTGGGCCCACGGCCGCGAGGTGAGAGCCCCGGGGTTCAGGGCCGGGCTCTCGGGCGGTGGCGGGAAAGCGGCGCGAGGGCGGCGCCGGCGGTCGGGACGGATGGGTGGGTCCCTGGGGAGTCCGTGGTGTCGTGGGGACCCGCCCTCCCTCGGAGGTCCTAGATGCGGGCACCCGGGCCGGGGAGCGGCTGGGCGAGGGAGGATGCCAGGGGTCGGTTCCGTTGTGCTGAGCGGCCGAGGGCGCTGGGGCCGGAGCGCCGAGCTGTGGGCCGTTCCTGGGCCAGGTCCGCGGTGCCGGGGCAGAGCGAGGCGAGAAGCGCACTGCCTTCTCGCGCGTGCCCTTCTCCCCTTGGCATCTGCAGTCGGGCAAGGGTTCTGCGGTTTACTGTTGCATCCTTTGCACCGGTGAATGTGCGACGCAGGTGGGTGTCTAGAAAGAGCTTTGAAGCTGGCTCTGTCTAGGTCCCAAACTTGGCCTGTCAGCTCTTAGCCTGGTGACCTTGGGCACGTCACTGGCTCTCTTGGCGCCTTGGCGACCTCTTGTGAACACGTTGTCCTACTATAACAGTGGTGGTCAGGTGAAGGGGTTAGCGGTTCCTGTAGCACTAACCAGTTCTTGGCTTCATGAACTGGTCCACTGTTGTTCGGTGGGTGTACAGAGCAAGTCCACTGTTGGTCGGTGGGTGTACAGAGAGTAACAGCCCTGTCTTTGGCTACTTTGGAGATAGAGTTATAAGTGGTAGCAGTTCGGAATGTTATGATTAGGTGTATGTTCATGCTCTGAGTCCCTTAACTCAACCTGGAGAGCTGAGGTTTTTTAGAAAAGAAGCAGCCTGAAATGAGCTGTGAAAAATGATAGCCAGTAACTAAAATGTGAGGAGCATTCCAAGTGAGAAAATGTGGGAGCAAAGCATGGGAACATGGAGCACAGTGCTATGGAGAATCAAGGCAACTTTGCATGGCTGAGAGATGAACTACAGGTGCAGTGGAAAATGCAGGGAGAAATGGGTCATGGAGGTCCATGCACATCCTGAGGAAGAACTGTGACTTTAGTCTCTAACTGTAGACCAGTGAAAACATTTCAAGCATGCTAGTGGTCTCAGATTTTTGTTTGAAAGAAATTATTTTAATCCTTTTGGCTGAATTGTCTTGGTAGATTTAGAGTGGCAAGGAATCCTATAGGACAAGTCCACTTATCCATGAAATATCCTCAGTAGGTTTGTGGATTCTTTAAATTATATTCCACAAGCCTGTATACTTGCACATTTTGTAGGTTGAGGATCTACCACTTCCATTGGATGTTGAAAAATTAGCTGTGTAGTTATCTAGTGATGATGTGGAGCCTGTTCTAGAGCTGGATTAGAGAACTTTGCAGGTGTAAACAAGGATCTTGGTGCCTGATTAGATGTGGGAACTGAAGGACAGTGAGTGATGGATTTCCTGGTTGCTACCAGCAATAATATAATTTCCTAAGAGGGAGAAGTGAGGGAGGAGCAGATCTGGAGGGGAAGATGATGTGTTCAGCTTTAGACATTTTTGCGTTTAATGAGCCTGTGGAACATCCAAGTGACAATCAGTATCTTTGGCCTTATTTTTATGCAAGAGTAATTTAAAGACAAGAATGTTTTTCTTAAGAACATGCATCAAAATGGCAGTAGATATCAAAGTGCTTCCCCCTCCCCCAGGGTCCTGGATCAAAGTTGAAAAGCAAGTCTTATGGAGTTGCAAAGGCATTATAGGAGTGCCTTTATACAAATATGAGTATATATGTGTAGTCAGCTCTCCATGTCCATGAGTTCCACATTTTTGGATTCAGCCAACCCCAGATTGAAAACATTTGCAAAATATTGCATATTACTGATCATGTAGAGACTTTCTTGACATTTTTCCCTAAATAATATGGTGTAACCACTACTCCCCTAGCATTTACATCAAATATTAGGCATGCTAAATAATTTAGAGATGATTTAACATGTACAGGGAGGAGAGACACACATAGGTAATGTGTAGGTACTATGTTGCTTTGCATCAGGGGCTTGAGCATTGGGGGATTTTGGTGTCCACAGGGCTCCTGTGTTTAAATGTTACATACCAACATTTTAACGTGCTAAAGACCACTTACATGTACTTTATGCTGCTTCATTAACCCAGTTTTGTGTGGATCTGGGAATAAGGGTCTCCTGCCATCTCTCCCTTACTGAAAAGCTGTCCTCTGAAGCTTCCTGCAATAGCCATCTAACCTCTCTGTTTTGCTTTTATCCCATGCACTTATTTTTCCACCTGTGGCCAGAGTAATTTTTAAAACCAGAAATCTAATTGTGCCCCCGACTGCCTTTTAAAAGCCTCTAGTTTTCCTATTAAACTCAAGTCAAACCACATTGTTCACGTGACCTGCCAGGCCTTCTGTCATGTTTTCTGTTTCTCCTGCCCTAGCTGCGTTGGCCTCATACTGTGCTCATACCAGCACACTTCCTGGGGCTCCTTATGTTCACCTGTATACCTGGAGCATTTCCTCCACCAGTCAGCCTGCCCTTCTTCATTCAGGCTTCAGCTGAGGGGAGGGTCGCAAGTTCCAGGTCAATCTGGTCAACTTGTTGAGACCCTTCTCAAAATAGAAATTTAAAAAGCCAGTGTGTGGGAGGGGGGAGGCTGGGGTTGTGACTCAGCAGTAGAGCATTCGCCTAGTGCGTCTGAGGCCCTGGGTTTGATCCTCAGCACCAAATAAAAATAAATAAATAAAACCAAGGTATTGTGTCCAACTACACCTAAAAAATAAATAAATATTTTTTTAAAAAAGCCAGTGTTGGGGATATAGATGTAGCTCAGTGGTGGGATACCCTTGGCCCTGAGTTCAATTCCCAGTACTCCAAAACAGCTCCCTCTCGTCTCTGATCACATCCCCTCCTCCTTACCCTGCTTCAACTTTCCTCATAGGAACTATTGTTCTCTAATAATACATTTTATGTTTGTTTTTCTTGTTGATCTATTTGCTCCCTTGAGGTCAGAGGCTTGACTTTTGTCTCTGATATTCCTCCAGCACCTACTAGTTGCTCACTAATCACTCAGGAATGAGTGACTGAATCAAATCTTTTCCATAAATATAGCAAAGTATAGAAAGAAAGTGGATGACAAGGCTGACTGTACAAAGCTTGGGCTCAGTGGTCAGGCAGGCCAGGGGCCTACTGAGTGGACTGAGAGTGGCGTCTCCAAATACAAAGAAACCTGTGCAAGACCAGGGGCTTTTGATGTCCTCATTCTCGTTCCTTCACCAGGGGCACTGCTCCTCTGAAAGGCTTGACCGGCAGAATGGAAGGAAGCTGTGGTGCAGACTGCCCTCTGTGGAGCCTTTGAAGACAATAAAATCCTGTTCAGTTCCACAGTAAGCACATTTCCTGTTCTTTCTGTAGAGATAGATTTTTGGTTAAAATAAGTTAGGCTGTCTTATTCATAAATTCTCTTGAAAGTTGGGCCACAGTTCCCGCATCCATAAAATACAGATTATGTCCTCCCTTCCTGGAGCATGAGGCAGTCTGTGGCATGTTCCTGGCCTTTAGGAATATCTGTGGAGCAGGTGAACATGCCATAGGTTGCTGAGGTCCCAGGAGACAGTGTGGTGGAGTTCTATGACCTGCAACATCCAAGGGGAATGTTGCTGCCAGGACATGGGAAGATACCACTAACATTTGAAAGATATTATAAAAAAAAAAATAGACGTGTGGGGAAGGAAAGATCCTCGTAGCAAGACTCTGAGTCACTTAAAGTCATCTCCTTGCCTGGCCTTACTGGAGTAGGGTGTTGGGGGGAATGTTTTCATGTCAGTGTTTACTTAAAGATTTTCCAGGTCTGGGGCTGTGGCTCAGCAGTAGAGCACTTGCCTAGCCATGGGAGGTCCTGGGTTCAATCCTCAGCACCACATAAAAATAAATGAATAAAGTAAAGGTATCCATGTACAACTAAAAAATATACATGTAAAAAAATGATTTTCCAGACTTCAAGAAAAATGCTCATTTCTGAGAGGTGTGTGCCTTGTTTTAGTCTCACCAAGTACAGGATGTGAACCTGGAGCAGGAACTGAATCCCAGCACCTGGGTGGTGAGCAGTTCAGCACTGTTGTGCCCGTCATGAATCAGCCAGAGTGAGGACTGAACTTGAACAGCCAAGGACGCGATCTTACCTGTGTTTCCTCACTTCTCTGTAGGACAGTGTTTCTGTCTCTCAACTTATCGTGTTAGATGTGTATAATTTTTTTTAACGTGGTGCTGGGGTTTGAACCTGGGGCCTCACTTACGCTAGGCAAGTCCTCTACCACGTAGCTACATCCCAGCTTTTTGCAATTTAATAGGAAAAGAATGAACAGGAAGAGTATCCAGGGGAAAATATTTCCATTTTAAGTAAAAGTGCATTCTGAGAGTTGGAGGAATTGGTTTTTACTCCTGCAGTGCCTAGAATGATCTGATGTTGCTTTCCTTGACATCGCTGTTGCTAACATTGTTCTTCTAGGGCTCTTCTCTGGATCACGTGCTATGGTGAAAAATGTTTCGGAAAGGCAAAAAGCGACACAGTAGTAGCAGTTCCCAAAGTAGTGAAATCAGTACCAAGAGCAAGGTAGGGGACCTGGCCTGGAGCTCCGTCCTTAGCAGGGAGAAGTGAATTCTTGCAGCTGGAGCTGCACAGAAGGCATAAACTTTTCAGGCCTCCCACAGCCTTCCAACTGCATGAATCTTTATGTCCATTTTAGGTTTTTGGTTTAATTGGTTTTTGGTTTAATTTATTATGATTTGGTAGATTTTTCTGAAATTCTTAAGTCCATTACTCTAAATGGGACACAACTAGGAATGGTCTCATTAAAACTAACACTAATTTAATTTTTTTTTTTAAATAATGGAAATTGCAGATATGAGGGGTATCATCTCTTGGATTTTAGAATTTGTTGTGGATATGACAATATTTACATAGCAGTGAGATTGGTTAATAACTGTATACAAGACTTTTTAAAAGTAGCTTGAAGGCGTCATAGGTTTAATTTATGCAAAACAAACCTTTTGAATGAAAGTTTTCCCAGATCTTATTTCTTATACACATCTATGAAATGAAGCACACTGGTGAGAAACTACTATGTAAAGGATTTTTAAACTTTGACCTAAGGGTTTGTTGGTCAGTAAACCCTGGTGGTTAAGGCCTGGCCTGCTGGTGAGCCTGGGACTGCTGCGGGCAGACCCTATTGTGGACACCACATTAGAAATGACTCAAGACCTGAGGACTGTACTAGATGTGACCTGGGGTCAGTCACTTACCTCTGGCCCCTTTCCTCTTTTGTTAAACCTCACTCCCCGCCTAGCTTTCTGGACAGGGTTAATTTCGGGTTCTGTGGAAATAATAGGAAAGCAGGGTGCAGATCTTCATGGAGGATGTAAATGTCAGGCATCTTGGAAAGTGGGTGGAGGGAAGGTCTTAGGCTTAGACCAAGATGACAATGCCACATGTGTCTGGTGCTGTGTGATAGGATGAGCAGTTGTACTGGTTTTTAATGTTTGCTGGAGAGTACGTCTTCAGGAAAATCTGTTCCAGTGCATCTGCCTGGATAATTGGCCTGATTTTATATGTATTGGCTCAACAGCATAATTTGAATATGTTTAGTAGTGGACTTCAGAGAGTTCAGGGCTTCTCACTGTGTATGCTTCTTCTTGACTTGCTCTCCACTCCTCAGTCTGTAGATTCCAGCCTTGGGGGCCTGTCCCGATCCAGCACTGTGGCCAGCCTCGATACAGACTCCACCAAAAGCTCAGGTGCGTAAGAGCAATGATCCCACACGTTGATGGCTCTGCTTGGATATTTTGCCAGATGGCAGTTCTTGCACATTTCCAGTTTTCTTCCTTCTGCCTTTTTTTTTGGCCCTGGGTATTGAACCCAGGGTGATTTACCACTGAGCTACATGCCAGTCCTTTTTATTTTTTGAGATAGGGTCTCTCTAAGTTGCCTAGGGCCTTCTAACTTGCAAAGGCTGTCTTCCAACTTGCTATCCTCCCATTTCAGCCTCCGGAGTCCCTGGGATTACAGGCGAAAACCACCACATGTGCTTCCTCTGCCACTATTTGACTAGAGTTTAGAAATGGACCAAAATTTGCTGGGATGCAGTTTGAGGGTGTGGTGTGGTTGGTGAAAATGCAGGCCCTCGAGCTAGGCTCAGGCACATGTGCAAAGTGTTCTTTGTGGGACTTAGAGCAAAAATGTTAGAAAACATCATGTGGCAATAATTTAGAATTTCAAAATAGCATATTAAGGACTAGAGTGGCAGAGAGTGGATTATAGTGGACTCAGGTTGTTTATGAGAACAAGACAAATATACTGGTGATAAATGTTACAGAGCCATTTACCTTGAGGGCTACCTGGAGATATACTAGCTCATGACCAGCAGGAATACAGGTAATTATCACAGATCCTCACAGACTGTTTGCAGGTACCTGATAGTAGCTCCTTAGAAATCAAAATGTGATTCCTATCCAAGCTCTATAAATAAAGAGCTGGTAACTAATTGGAAATACTTATATTAATTTTCTTTTCTAAAATAGAATCATAGTCATAGACTAATTGATCTAAAAAAGAGAATGTTGTAACATAAAGTCCATTATCTTTACTTCTAGACACTTTTAAGTTTTTAAAAATCTCGTAATCTTTTTATTACACAACACAATCTAAAAGTAATCAGATAATGTTTTCTTAGCAGGGTATCATATGTCACTTGTAATAAGTTGTATTGGCTAGATTTTACAGCGCACACCAGTTGTTGTAATGAGGGACTTTCTTGTCTGGTATTATTCCATCTACTTTAAGAAAAAAAAAACACAACTTGGTCTTCTCTGACTGAATGGTAGAGAAAGAGCAGATATCCTGAATCAGTATAGTGAAGAGAGGTAGAAACCAAAAATAAGCATCATTATGCATTATAAAAATACTCAATCAGCTGGGCATGGTGGTACATGCCTCTAATCCCAGTGGCTTGGGAGGCTGAAGCAGGAGGATCACAAGTTCAAAGCCAGTCTCAGAAATTTAGCAAGGCCCCAAGCAACTTAATGAGACCCTGTCTCAAAATAAAATAAATTAAAAAAAGGGCTGAGGATGTAGCCCAGTGGTTTAGCTCCCCTGGGTTCAATCTCAAGTACCAAAAAGTACTCAATCATTGAATCATTGTCTAGTTGACCTTTCTTTCTCCCATTCATTGCTTTGAAATGAATATCATCAATATTACTTTATTCCTAGTATTGAGGTCTTTATACATTTAGTACACTGTGGGTTGCTAAGGAAAAAAAATAAATGAAATTTTAAGTTTTTCCCTATTACATCAAGAAATTTTGCATCTTAAAATTTGATAATTAAAGATCATATTCTAATGAAAGTCGATTTTTTATTTGGGCAAGGTCTGAGGAAATCCTGGAAAGCAAGTATTTCTTTTGAAGTCTCATCACAATTTTTTTTTTCACCTTTAGGACAAAGCAACAATAACTTAGATACTTGTGCAGAATTTCGAGTAAAGTATGTTGGTGCCATTGAGAAGCTGAAACTCTCTGAGGGAAAAGGCCTGGAAGGACCACTAGACCTGATAAATTATATAGATGTTGCCCAGGTAAAAAGAAAAAAGATTGTTTTTTTTAGTTTAAAGCCTGTGGTTATGAGACCAAACTGGTGACATGGCCTTGGATAATACATTTGCTCTTGGTCACTGGATGGCGCTCTTCTGTCTTTTGATGAGGTACGCTGTCATCCTGGGCCAGAGCTTGGTGGCCCTGGTTTATACAAGATGCCCTGGAGATGGAGTTTCACAGAAAGGGTTTCTCCCTTCACACAGAGAGCTTTTCACTTTCCTGGTGCAGACCGACATCCTTATTTAGGAACAGACTTTGTGACTGCTTCCACCCTATAGGTTTTTCTTTGAAACAACCTGGCACATGTTTGCCCCACAACCAGTTTCATCTCTTTGGAAACTTACTCATAGCACTGTTGACCTAACATGTCTACTTATTTCACACCCTATTTCCTCAACAAGAATTGAGGTGAAGTGGGTTTCAAAAATATATCTAAGAAGATAAAAAATAATCATCATGCAGGAAAATTAAGAATGTAATTGAAGATAAATCAAAGCTATAAAGTCAATGCATAAAATATCATAAGATCTGTATACTCCTGAGGTGGAAGTGGATAAAACAAGGCTTATATAGTTAGTTAATCTTAAGTATGCACAATCTTTTAATCATGGGGATATTAAATGTAATGACTCATGTCTTCATGAAAGTAAAGGAAGTTATTTCTGTCTAGAAGGAAATAAGTGAATCTAATTTGCCATTTAACAGAAAATTCTTGGTAGCCTGGACTAATTCAATTAGTTATCCCTGCATTTAGCTTGGAATTTAAAGTCATTCCGGCCAGGCACAGTGGCACATGCTTGTAATCCTAGTGGCTCAGGATGCTCAGGCAGGATTGTGAATTCAAGGCCAGCCTCAGTAAGTAAGTGAAGCCCTAAGCAACTCAATGTGACCCTGTTTCTAAATAAAATATATAAAAAAGAGCTAGGGATGTGGCTCAATGGTTAAGCACTTCTGGAATCAATCTCTGGTACCAAAAAAATAAATAAAAGTTAAAGTCATGCCAACAAAGCATAAGCAACTAGTAATCCCAGTAAAGTATCATGTGGAAAGATTGCTGATGTTTCCCTTCAGAAGTATAATAGAGTGATTTTCATTTCTATGAGGATTGCTGCATTTCTCATAAAGCCATAGAATTTATATATATATATTTAGTTGTAGGTGGACACAATAGTCTTTATTTTATTTTTATGTGTTGCTGAATATCAAACCCAGTGCCTCACACACACCAGGAGAGCATTCTACCATTCAGCCCCAGCCCCAGCCCTGAGCCATAGAATTTTTGCTTGTTAAAATGCCATTATTAACAATAGCATTACTATTATCCAGTGTTTTTAAAACTCACTGTGAAATATGAATATTCAATATAGCATCATAGTGGCCCAACAGTTAAGGTGTTTGGATAGTTATTGACTATGATTCAGGGTTCTGCAAAAACATTTACAGTACAGAACATCTGCTGACTGCCAATATTTAGTGACGACAAATTAGGCATATAAAACCAGGTAATCTGCTGTTTCACTTATTTCTGAACAGCTCAAAATGCTGATGAACGTGTTTAGGTTCATTGGCAGCCTCTCCTGTAGCCCCAGGTGTGGGAGAGCCTGGCATCTTGCCCTCTAGGTAGGACATAAAATGATGAGAAGGATGGTTTCTGTGGCCTCTCTTCCCCATCAGTCCACGTCCTGGCACTGGTGTAAGCTTTTAAGTATTTTAAAATCTGAATCAAGACCTTCATTTTCTTACGTCAGCATTTTAAGCTCATCGGCCTCAGTGAAATATCTCAGTTTGGAATTAGGGTTTACACCAAGACAAAAGAGTAGAACAGTGTGTGGGAAGTAGACTGAGCTCAATTTGTGGACTGTGAAAGTTCAAAGATGGGGAGATTTTTCTTCTGCCTTTTTGGGGAGAAGTTGTCTACTGTGTACCCCACATTTGCTAAAGAGCTTGCGGTTGTGACAACCAGATACTAAGTGACTCAAAAGACTTAAGACTATAACATAATTTTAATGTATATCATGTATTTTATTTCTACTTTAAAGCAAGATGGAAAGTTGCCTTTTGTTCCCCTGGAGGAAGAATTTATTATGGGAGTTTCCAAGTATGGGATAAAAGTATCAACGTCAGATCAGTATGTAAGTATATCATTTATTAAGGAAAACTTTTTTAGCAAATAGGAAATCCAGGCCTTTCAGTTAGGTCTCCTGTGTGCACAGTGGCTGGCAGCTGTTCTTAAATGGGACCATTTCTTAGGGTGAGCAGGGACTTCCTTTGTAAATTGTGTACACGCAGCACCCCAACCCCAGGTACCAATAAAAATAAATAAAAGTTAAAGTCATGCCAACAAAGCATAAGCAACTAGTAATCTCAGTAAAGTATCATGTGGAAAGACTGCTGATGTTTCCCCTCAGAAGTATAATAGAGTGATTTTCACTCTATTATAAAAGTGAGACTTTTTAAACTGAGGATCCTATGTCAGTCAAGAGCAGCTGGCTAGGAAGCTGGACAGAGATGGACTGGACCTGGTTCCTGGCCCTGGGTTTGAGTTGGGAAGGTATAGTCCTGAAGCACACTGCCTCCTAACTGGCCACACCAGAATGTCCTGGGGGGGTGAGATGCCACACAGCTGCTTTGTCAGATCCAAGGATGTGCTGCTGAGCCTCCCCTGTCCCACCTGTGAGAATGTCATTAGAACCGAGATACTGAAAACAGCCAGGACCTCTCTGACGGCCTGATCTCTGCAGGACGTGTTACACAGGCATGCTCTGTACTTAATCATCCGGATGGTGTGTTACGATGATGGCCTCGGGGCAGGAAAAAGCTTACTGGCTCTTAAGACCACAGACGCCAGTAATGAAGAATACAGCCTGTGGGTCTATCAGTGCCACAGCCTGGTAAGACTTTTGAGTTACTGTGGTTGGTCCCTTATTCCCCCGGTGCCCAAACTGAGACTATGTGTACTGCTTGTTCAAGGACTGGGGAAACGCTCTCCATTGTGTACTTAATACCTGGCCTCAGAATGAGTGCATGCAGCCAGGAGCTTAGGGCAGCCAGGTAGGTGGCTAGGCATTCGGCAGGCTGCCAGCTTATTTCTGGCAGGTCCAGGAATCACCTGTGCCTGGACCTAAAATTCTCAGTAAACATTAAGTGGGTGAGGAAGAGTGTGCCCTCTGTCACCAAGGCTCCCTCCATTCTTGTGTGTGGTCCTCACCCTGCTCTCAGGTGCAGTGCTGTTTATTGTCTGCACTGCTCCTAGGAAGGGGGCCCATGTGGCCGGGAGCTCCAGGCACGGGCACATATTGAGGTGTAGGGTTGGAAGAGAAACCTGTTTAAAGGGCCAGGTGAGGCCCCTGCTGGTCAGGCCAGGTTTAGGAAGAGACATGTGCGCTCCACTCTTACCGCACCTTCTCGTGCAACACAGGAACAAGCACAGGCAATCTGCAAAGTTTTGTCCACTGCGTTTGACGCCGTGTTAACCTCTGAGAAATCCTGATCTCTGCACTCAGGCAAAGGAAGCCAACCTCACCCGAGAGTCAGCTGTTTTCTCAATCATCTGCTTTCAATCTGCAATGCTGAACTATTACAGAAAGATGAGGTGATGCCCTGCTCCAATTTTCTGAAGAAAGTGCAATGTCTACACTATTGACCATTTGTTTTTGTATTAAAATATGTCTAATTAAACAGTGAGTTGACTCTCAATGAACTACCTACTTTCTGGGAGTAAAAGAACCCCATCCAGTCATTTGAAAATGCAAATCAGCTTGACATTGAAGTGTCATGTAAGGTCCCTCTGAATAACATGGAGGATCTGCCTGAGGAAGACTGAGGAACCCCACCCCATGTGGCTTCCCAGTGACATGGTATCACTGGTTTGGAGGGAGAGGCAGGCAGAGCTCATGCTGGCTTGGAACAGTGGCACTGTCAACTTAAGACATGAAGTAAATTTTCAGGAGTGTGTTGGCAAGATTATATGTGTTTATCTCAGAGTTAAGAGCACTTTAAAAGATTACTACTCATGCTAAACGTATATGTTTAAAGGATCTCATGAATAGTGCACTAGTATACTTATTTGTTTTTTAAAAAAGGACTGAATATTTAACACTTTAAAGATTAAAAATAAGACCACATCCATTTAAAAGTACTTTATTTTTTTTTCCAGTCAAATGACTAGTTAACAAGAAGAGTAAACTTGAATTGAACATGCTCTAATTATACATCACTGCATTAAGGACAATGAAAATAAGAATCAGTTTAGGTTATACAATATATACAGTTGCGCTGCAACTAGACCAAAGTAATCAAGTTAATGAATTGAGTATCATACATCTCAAAATAGCATTCTAGGCTGCGTGTCCATATCCGCCCTTAACAGGTCCCACAGGAACGACTAATCTGTGCACCTGTTTCTGAGTCGCCATCCCTAGAAATCAGACCTGGTGGAAAAGTGGCATGCCAAATGCCAGAATCCTGCAGCTGAAGTTTATGAAACGTAAACTTTAAATAGATATCTACAGTGTTTTCCTTTCTCAGTTTTTTTTCCTTTTTTTTTTTTTTGAATTTGCAAAGCAAATAACTAGGAAAGGATACTAGTAGGGAAATTAATAGAATTTCTCCTCTGGCAAAAGTACTATTAATTACTGCACAATAGCACCACCAAATTGTAGACTGGAAAAATATTTCCTAGGAATTCATGTACCAGGGAACCTGGTGTTTGGTTTGGGTCTGGAGTTCAAATGTTCCTGTGAGTCAACTTGATTGCTAAGCAGGCACCAGGTCGTCAGAGGCTGACGATAAGGTACAGATGCGGGAGGTTGTTCCCCAGTTAGGAGACGTGCGCTGTGCAAAATACATTTGTTCACTCTTAAATCTATGAGAAGTTGGCCAAGTGAAGGGTTCAAACAACAGAAATTAACAAGTAGTGAAAATAGATGTAGTGTTTAAAAAAAAAAAAGGCTTACAGATAGAACACGTTTTTACCGGAATGTTGAAAGGCAAAAAGCAATTGCTATACAACAACATACAACATTCCAGTTTGTTGTGTCTTCCTTGATCATAGCAAACAAAACAACGCCCAGGGGGGAAAAAAAAAAAAAAAGAAAGGAGACTCCACATGTAAGAGTCTTGTATAAAGACAAGCTGCTTCAATCAAATGTACCATCATAACAAATGCAACAAGAGCACTTTTGCCTTGCTTTCCAAGCCTATAAATTTATTCCTTTACTTTTGTTCCAAGTCCAAGTGGGCATCACATGCCTATTTATTCTGAAAGAGTGCCAAAATTTCCAATAATCCTACTATGAATCTTATGCTCATGATTACTAGAGGTATGACAGTCAAGTTCATTAAACTAATGAGTTTTGATTCTACCGCGTACAACCTAATTCCCACCCCTTCCCCAAGTAGTGTACGTTCAGGAGTGACATGATGGCCTTAGATAGTAGAACTGGGATGTGTGGGAGAACTGTATTACCTGGGACCTACAGATTTCTGATATGCTTTTGAGTACAAACAAAGGGACAGGTTAAATTTCAAGACTTACAGTGTAGCTACCATTCCTGTTGGCATATTATATAAATACAAGACACTAAGCTGAGTGAATGTCCTCGCAAGCTAGGAAGGGAAGGCAGTGACTACAGGAAACAGCAGGGAACGTGGTTCTGTTCCGGGGTCTGAGCCACAGTATTCTACTTGTGTACATTTGCTTTCTTGAATGAAAGGGGAAGTTGAAGAAGGCAAACTCCAAAACACCTACAGCATAGAAGCTAGTTTAAAGAACTGTTTTGCAATCCATCATCCTTAGTTTTTAACCAATTTCAGGAAATGCAGTTTATATCACCTCCTGGAATGGCATGAACTTCTATGACCGTTTGCTGTAATAACCCATCAGTAGTTCTGCTAAGTTTGATTGTTCACAACAAGTCATAAACACATGCAGAAGCCGTGACGGGTGCAACCTCACAGGTTAGGGCTAGAAAGTACAAGGCTAATGTGTAAATTTCCAAGTTGCTTTAAATGGACATTGGTTTCAAAAGAATAAGTGTCTTTAAAGGTGAACTGATGGCATTTTATGGAGAGTCCAGGACTTTTGAAGCAGCAGTTTACTGGCTTCCTAAAATAATAACCATGCTACTGGTCACAACTCCAGAATTGGGCCAAGGAAAGCAGGAATAATTTTCAATATTCCTCATTGACCATCTTGAAATTTAGCAGTAGATGCATCCTACAGATGCAGGATCTCAGTTATGTAGTTAAAATAACTTCAGTTCACCTTTTATGAAATTCAGTTTTTCCTAATAAAAGTATAGCAATGTTTCATGAAAACTACAAATTATAAAAACAATTCACTTAATATATATAAAATTGCCTTTGAGTTCTTAAAACTTAACAGTGAGAGAAAATGAGCTACCATGAAAACGGGTTTTCTGGCAAGAATTTTGGTACCAGTAATGAAACAAGAACATAACTGTTAAGGAAAGGCTTTTGTTCAGTAGCAATTCAGTCAGCAATAAAGTGCACAAATGATACAGGGAATGCTCCTTTGCGACTGGGATCTCCATCGATGTGGCCAATCTGAAATGAATAAAAATTTGGATTGTTACAAAAATTTCAAATTTAGAAGCTTTGGAGAGCATTATAGCACTGGAAAAGGAGGCCTGGGAAGAGGAGACCTGTGTTCAGAATGATTTCTGCTGCCAAAGACTGACTGGGTAGAACAGCTGAGTTAACGTTTTCTTTCCTTCTTGCTACCCATCATGTTTGCAATAGAGTGTGGCTCCCACACTCAAGGACCTCACATGACCCTGAGATGTGTGGGTAATGCTGGGGGCATGTGGGGGTGCTGGCTGGTCACCACTCCCCACTTACCTTATTTTTAGTGAATGAAAAAACTGTCAGAAGTTTGTCTTGACCTTTCTTTCTTTCTTTTCTTTCTTTCTTTTTCTTTTTTTTGTGGGGTGCTAAGGATTGAACCAGGGCCCTGCACATGCTAAAGTGCCCTGCACTGAGCCACTCCCCAGTTCTGAAGTTGTCAGAAGTCTGTTGGCTGCAAAGTCATAGGATGTGGACAAGGTGTTCATTTAAATCTCACCATGCATTTGTAGAAAGCTTCAAGAAAAACCCATTTATTTTTTTACTCTGGGTAGATTATATAAATTAGACCCAAGTATGATTTCAACAATGTAAATTACGTAGGCAAATAAAAGCCTAGAAGAAAACTGTCAAAATATAAATGGTGGTGGGACTGGGGTTGTGGCTCACTGGTAGAGTACTTGCCACGCATACATGAGACACTGGATTCGATCCTCAGCACCACTAAATAAATAAATAAATAAATTGTGTCCATCTACAATTATATATATATAGTAGGGTTTTTTTTAGGAAGACAGGCTGGTTATGGAGACAACAGGCATTTTCTGTATGGCTAAGCCTGTTGCCTGGCTGGAGTCTCATCCATACGGTGGGCTGTCGGCAGGGATGGGACCAGACCAGACCTGTTTCCTTCTGCCCACTGGCTCCTTACCCAGCCCAGCCTCATGCCTGGAGTGCAGCAGAACCAAGAGCTCCAGCTCCTGCTGCTGCCTGTGCTGAGCAAAGAAGACAGAAGGAGCCCTTGACCCACAAGCACTTTTCACCTCTCAGAGGCCCAAGGCCCCAGAAAGATGGGTGGACACAGCCAATGGCAGTGCTACAAGGCCGAGAGACCAAAGGCCCTGGAGGCAGAGAACTCAGGGTGGAAGAGGGCGGGAGCTCTGCTGGGGACGGCAACTAGGGGCAGCGTCAAGACTCCTTGCATTTGACAAAGTAAAGCAACTTCGCTGAATCGTGTCCGTGGCATCAGCTGAGCTGTCTGGTCTCTGAGCCCAGGCTACAGAGCCAGGCCTACGGAACCACCAGGGGGCAGAGGCCACTGGCGCTTTACGCATGTACTTCCTTCCAGTTATGGAATCCTCCACCTCAGCTGAGGACTCCTGCCTCTCCAGGGGGTCATCATGTCATTCTGCCACAGGGCTGTGGGCAACTCCCTTTCACAGAGGTGTCAGCCAGGTGTCAAGACCTAAGCATCTTGCCCAGGCCCCAGTCCATCAGTGGCAGAGCCTGATTTTCTAGGACCCCTGGGGGAGGACCTGTGCCCACCCTGCTCCTGCACCAGGAGGCCTCAGGACCAGCCCAGCCCTAGGGGCTCTGCCCTTGAGGCCACCTTCCACTGGAGGTCGTGCTATACTGCTCTGGCCATGGGGATCATTAACTTGCAAAGTCGAGGTTTCCAAGTACAGGGGTCTCGTTTCAGGTCCTCGGGGTACTCTGGCAACTGCAGCCTGAGTGCCCTGCCCGCCTAAACCAGACAGGAGTCCGCCAGGATAAATGAGGTTCCTCAGAAGTAGCTGTCCACACAGAGTGACACCTGAGGGTGCTGGCACCAGGGCACGATGCTCAGCTGAGCACCTCACTGTGAGCAGGCCTCTCAGGCTCCCAGGCCCCGCCAGGCCCACCCCGACTCACCCACCACTCCTGGTCCTCCTCTCCGTCCACCACAATCACATCTCCCTCAGAGAAGGTCAGCTCGTCCGGGTTGTCAGCCACACAGTTGTACAGCGCTTTGACCCGCTTGGGCTTCGACTTGGTCTGTGTGAGGAGAGGGACCAAGTTAGTGTGGCCAAAGTCTAAGCTCTTGGGCAGAGAACAGGGTGCCTGCCTCCTTCTGGTCTCTGGGGTCCTCTCCCCAGGCCTGGGAAACCTACAGGGGTCAACAGGGGCTCTTCTCTCTCAGGGCAGCTCGGGTGCCAGGGAGAGAAAAGTGTGAGACCCCAGCAGAGTGGGGAACGAAGCAGCCAGGGTTTGGGGTGGAGCTGTGGCCGAAGGGCCAAGTCTGCCAGGTGCCCAGGTCATGAGCCACCTCCAGGAAGAAGCCCCTAGTCCCCCCACCTCGGCCCCAAGGGAGGTGGAACCCAGCCAGAGCAGGGCAGGAGGGCAGGCACACCCACTTACCGCCTGTGACTTCCTGGGCATGGGCGCAGGGGGCTGCAGGGCCACAGCATTAGACAGAGAACCATGAGCTTCTATTCCACAAAGATCCACTGCTTTAGGGCCAAAATGAAGCAACCTTACAAGATGCCCCATCAATCGCAACCACAAGATGTAAACAATGACTCTAAGCCACAGTCTCATGTCTGAAAGCAGATTTCCTCCCAGTTGAGGGAAAAGCTGAAGAACCTCCCGCCTTTATGGTGCTGGATGTGGGAACCCAAATGGGGTCCTAGGAAAGAGGAGCGGGGTGCAGGCCTCTGCAGCAGGAGGCCCAGGAGGGTGGGATGGCCATAGGTGGGGGGCAGCAGGGCCCTGCCCAGGGTTGACCATCTGCATGGAAATACATACCCCACGCGCCAAGCAGAAAGAAACCCAGCCCCCAATTTAATAATTACCAGGTCCTCTGGGCTGGCCCTTGTTAATCAGTGGGGTCGGTTTGTCAGCCCTACAAAGAAGGAGAAAAGCAGACTTACTCACGGATACCTGAGGTTATCTGCCCAGCCTCATTCCCTTCATAAGGACACACCTGTGTTTAAGCTGAACACCTGAGCTGACTTCACTGTCAGTCATTCAATTATTATCATTATTTTGTAAAACAAAAAGCCTAGGGAAAGTGCCAGACCCAAGGTTCCTCATCCCCAAACCAGGGCTCTTCCAAAGCACCTCTGTCCACGCAGGCCTGGGGCTAGAAGCTGGGTACCAGCCATTGGTGCAGCTCCTTCCCTGCTTAGGCCTTGTCTCTCCATGTGAGAGGAGGAGCCAGATCTCAATCTCAGGCCCAGGACCTGTCAAGCACCTCAGTAGTGTCGTCACACCCCCTGCTCCACGGTTCTGCCCACGTGGCTGACCACAGCTCAGGCCCTTGGTGAGCTCGGGGTCCAGCTCACCCAGAGCTGTGAAGTGAAAACACAAATTGGGGCATGGCAGATGGGGTCATCCGCACAGACCTGCCCCTGGCAGACCTGGGTAAACGGGTTGCTGAGAACTGGCATTTCCATCTGTAGGTGTGACACCAGATGTCAGTCCTCAAAACATGGACAGGAGGCAAAGGTCTGTGATGGGCTAAAAGAAGAGGCCTCGTTTCAGCAGCAGGGGTCTAAGTGGACCTAGGGTGGAGCCACACACGGGAGGTGGGCGGGAGGGGCTGGAGCAGCAGGAGAGGCTGGGAGAAGCCAGAGGCTGCCTTCTCTCCCCCACATGCTCATTTCCGTCAGAGGCTCCCTCTGCTGCCCAGAATGTACCCACCAAGAGCAGGGGAGTCTGCGTCTCAGAATGCACATGGAGGAAATGCCACACTGGTTTTGTTATTGCTTTCAAAGAAGCAAAGGGCCCACCCACCTGACAGCCTCATCACTTATCTGCACCGGCTCTGGAGGTAAGTGTCCAGCAGACCCTTCTGGCTGCCCCTCGCCAGCAGCCACTCAGCTACCTGTGTAGCTACTCAGCTACACAGGCTCACGGGAGTGTGTGTGGGGAGAGCAGGTATTCTCTTTAAAGGATCAGACAGGGGGTGGGATTGTGGCTCAGTGGTAGAGCGTGCGCCTTGCACATGTGAGGTACTGGGTTCGATCCTCAGCACCCATAAAAATAAAGGTATTATGTCCATCTATAACTAAAAAAATTTAAAAAAGGACCAGACAGTAAAATTTTTAGTCTTTGTGGATCATGAAGTCTCAACTATTTGACTATCACTGAAATCCTGATTTTCAAATAATCGGTGGGGTGGGGGTACTTCTTTTAAAAGAGGACACACGTGCATCGCTTTGACAGCAGAGCTCCACTGGCAGCAACGGGACCTCGTGCCCTGGAACCTGTCTGGGACCCTCTGACTGCACCTGCTCTATCTGCCCTGCAACATCCCTTCCAACCGCGTTAAAACCAGGAAGACCAGGCTACAGAGGACACCCATCCCGCAACCTCTAGCTGGGACTCTGCAGGAGACAGGAGAGCAGCTGGAAAGGACCCCGAGCCGTCACCCGACAGAAGCCACTGTCCTCGGTACTCCCTGGTGAGTGCTGGGAGCTAACTGTTCCTTGTCTAGAACTTTAAGACATGATTTGAGCTCTTAAAAGCCGAGCAGCTTGGAGACAGCAGACCAGAGGCCATTACAAGGAAGGAGAAAGGAAGTGACACTGGAACTAGGAGCACAGCCAGTGGCCATTTGGTTAAGGCAAAAACAATCATTGGGAACTTGAAAGCATAATCGTGACAGTGTCATTATAAATCGTACTGCTGTTTAGGAATAGGACGGCAGGGCCAGACAGGGTGGCACATGACTGTCATCCCAGGAACTCGGGAAGGGAAGCCAAGGCAGGAGGACCCCAAGTTTGAGGCCAGCTTCAGCAACTAAGCAAGGTCCTAAGCAACTTAGTGAGACCCTGTCTCAAAATAAAAAAATAAAAAAGACTGGGGATGTGGTTCAGTGATTGTCCCTGGGTTCAATCTCTAGTACAGAATAAAACAAAAACTTAAACACACAAAAAATCCCCAAAGCACAGGAAGGCAGGGATATGTACATTATATTTTAGAAAGGTGACCTGCACTTTAAAAGTTCTGAAAGTGGATTTAAAACAGCAGCCTAGGGCTGGGGTTTTGGCTCCGTGGTAGAGCACTTGCCTAGCACGTGTGAGGCCCTGGGTTTGATCCTCAGCACCACATAAAAATAAATAAAATAAAGGTATTCTGTCCAACTGCAACTAAAAAATAAATATTAAAAAAAATAGCAACCTGGAGTTGTAGATCATTGATAGAGTGCAGGCTCTGGGTTCCATTCCCAGCACCATCCCACCATCGCCCACTGCAATACGTCTATTTCCTCCCAAGGAAAAAGACTGAAAACAAAAATTCAAACCAAAAGAACAAAGAGCTGAAGGAGGAACACAATTTTGGAAGCTGGAACTGGCAGGGTGAATGTAACCACCAGCTGGTGTGAGGAAAGGCCGGGAGCGCACCCACGTGTCCTGTGGGCCCAGTGAGGCCCAGGACCTCAGGAAGGGGAGACAGAGAGGCAATAACAGAAGGATTTGCCAGACTCCCTCGGAGGAGGCTCTGAATCCTGGACTCCCACCCCACCCCAAAGAGTGCCCCCCCCCCACTCCACCTACAGAAGGAGAAGCTGCTTCTTCAGAGGGCAAAGCAGAGGCCCTGGACAGGACACTAAGTGCAACTGTTGGCATTTCTCACAGAAGAGGGACTAGGTACAAACTTGACTTTGTTTCCTTACTCAACTCCCAGAAAATTTATACCCTCCCAGCAAGAGGCCAGGGAACCCGAGTTGTCCAAGAAAAAAGGCGCAGATTCTGAGTTTCCCAACAGCCCACTCCTCAGGGAAACCTGTGTAGGCAGCCTGTGTACCAGCTGGCGTTTGGTTAGTTTTTGAAGTACTGACTTGGGATTGAATCCAGGGGCGTTCTACCACACAGAGACATACCCAGCCATTTTATTTTTTGCTAAGTTTCCCAGGCTGGCTTTCTCAAACTTCTAATCCTCCTGCCTCGGCCTCCCAACTAGCAAGGATTACATGTATCACCACGTCCAACTGCCAGTTGTTGGTTTTTGTTCTAATTTTTTTTGGTAGTTGTAGATGGAAAGAATGCCTTTATTTTATTTGCTCAAGATTAAACCCAGTACCTCACACATGCTAGGAAAACACTGCCACTGAGCTATAGCACCAGTCCTCTAGTTGGTTTTGTGTGCAGCAGAAACAGACGGCACAGAGAACTGCTCATAGGAACAGTCTCTGTCATGCAGAGGCCAAAACGATGTGGAAGAAACACTACACAGAAAAGCACCAATGAAAACACACACTTAACACTCCAAAACATCAAATCATTAACATTCTCAGAGAGAGAAAGTGATCCTATGAAACAAGAACAGGGTGCCATAAAAAAGTTCAACTTGAGAAGGAGAGCAGACATAGGGAACCTGGGAGAAAAACTGAAGATAAGATGAGCAAGCAAACAAAGCCGGAAGGGAAAAGAGGCGCCCAGAGGGGCATCTGGTGAGGGCAGTCCCTTCCTCCTCCTCAGTGCAGAGCAGGCCAGGGGCTGCTCTTCCGCCTGGCTTCTGGACAGCGGGCCCCGTGACCGGCTCTGGTGGACAGGTGTGCACAGCTCGCATATCCCCCCACCTGTCCCAGAAGCACCTCTAGGCCCAAGGGGTAAACAGGGTAGAGCCAGAAGATGGAGGGCTCTGGGTCTACTCTTGGGTCTGGGATAGATGGGGAAAGAGTTTAGCTGCCTCAGGTCCACCCCTGAGATTGGGGGAGCTGTCAGAACAGTTACGTTACTCAATCAAAAGAGAAGTTGATATGTTTAGAGGAAAGCTGGGTAGATCTGATGTCCAAAGAGAATGAAAACAGACAACAGAAAAAAACAGAAACAGTCCTTTAAACACACACACACACACACACACACACACACACACACACAGAGTGAAATGTCACAGAACTGGAGGGCGCGATTCCAGCTAGAATGGCACCTGATGGGATGCCCATCCGGGCAGCAGTCTGGTGGCACAGACCTCACACTGGAGCCAAAGAACAAGCAGGAGGGGGCAGCCTGCAGAGGGGGACAGGCCGGCCTGAGGGGACCCAGAGGCTAACCCCCGGAGGGCTGCTGATGGGAGTGGTGAGGGATGGTGGCCTGGGGCCAGAGGCTGTGCCTTCAGTGGGTTCCCGGAACAGGACTGACCCAAGCACAGAAAGGGGCTTTAGCAAAGGGGAGGGGTGGAGGCGGTGACGGGAGCTGTTCCATAAAGGGACACCAATCACCCGAGGAGGCGTGGGACAGGGTTCTCATCTTCAGAAAAGGGAGCAACAAGAACGGAAAAGTAGAAAATTAGAACTGGCCCCAAAGTCTAGGGCCCTGTGGACTCTGTCCAGCTATCTGGTGTCACGCCACGCCCTGGCCCTCACTGTCTCTGGGCTCTGTCACTGCTTGACTTAGTGACAGCCATGCTGGCCAGTGTCCAGGCCCAGACCCCCTGCTATGAGGAAGCCCACAGCACCCGGGAGGCTGGGCACGGAGGTGTTCTGGTGGACAGCCCCCGCTGAGGTCCAGCGGACAACAGGCCTCAGCTGCCAGACCTGTGAAGGAGGCCTCCTGCGAGTCCTCAGACACGTCAACACCTAACTGACCCTGACCTCGGGGAGTCTTCAGCTGAGAGCGCACAGGCTGTGGAGCCAAACGAGTCAGACACTGTGTCAAACAGATTCCCGACAACGAGAGAAGAATAAAATGGCGTGTCTCGCTTCAGTCAGTTCTGGTGTGGTTCGTCACCAGAACAAGTGAAACTGGAGGTATCACTGTGACCCCGCAGATTCACTGTAGGAAGGCACAAAATGCACACACGTGCGCGTGCTTATGCATGTACATTTAGCAGCGTACACATGTGTGCACTTCCTGATTCTGACCAAGACCATGACCCATCCCAGCAATGAGACGACCCATCACCAGGCCCCGGCTTCTCAGCAGTGTTCCCCTTAAACAAGGGCCACCACAAACGGAGCTCTGTAAAGACCCAGAGAAGAGAGAGAATCTGGGCTCCTCTGCGGCACTCGGACACGAGGACTGTGGGTGAGGGTGGGAGGTGGTGAGCATCCAGGCAAGGTCCCGGTTTTGCGGGTTGCACTGTGTGTAGCAAAGCAAACGTTCTTATGTGAAGAAACGTGCCTCACACTGCTGAGGGCCCACATGGGCAAGATGACCTTTCTCAAGTGGGCAACAGACAGAACGAAGAGAGCCTGTCTGGAGGACTTTACTCCAAAAAACCCCCGCGTCTGTACTAAATGAAGATCTAAACTCACGACGTGAATTTAAGATACACATTTGTAAGAATTTTCAGTTAAAAAAAAATCCTTGAATTAATGGTAAGACCCTCCAGAGCTGATGGACCTCACACGCCTGGGCACCAGCAGCGGAGATTTCCAGCCTGAGTAAGGGGCCCACAGCCACTTGGAAGCCCCCAGAACGCTGGACGCAGGCCCAGCCAGTGTGACTAGGCCAGGAGGCCGGGAGGGGTGGCGTTACCCGGGAGCAGGCTTCTTCTGAGGCAGGCGGCTGGGAGGCTGGGGCGGCAGGGGCGGGGGCCTGCTCTGTGAGGCCCCTGGCTGGGGAGGCTTGCCCGACTGGCTCAAGGCTTCTAGCATGCTGGGCGTCTTGGCCACAGGAGGGGGTGGCGTGGGGGCCAGAGGGTCTGCAGAGAGAGAAGGGAGAGGAGACGAGTCAGCCCCAGCCCTGTACCCACCTCCTCCCTGGTGGCCCAGCCAGGGTCCTCTTCCCTGGAGTCTCCAGGGGGGCACACCTGCCGGTTTCCTCCTGCATTTCAGGGAACTGTGGAGGGAGGGAGGGGTCCTGGTCAAGCACCCAGGAAGCTCGAGCACGATCGAAACTCTTCAGGGGCCTGTTTTCTCTGCTGGACCCGGTGGGGAAGCCAGTACCTTGTCCTGCCCCTGACTCTGAACAGGCAGCAGGAGGCTGGTTGGGGCCAGGTCCAGGCCTGGCCTCTGCCCTGGGAGATGGTTCTGCCCGGGCCAGGACTCTCTTAGCCAGAGCAGGCCCATCCCCAGAAGGAAGGAGGCCCCACCCGTTTACCAGGCAGCTGAGCAGGGACAAGCCTGAGGACAGAGGGCGAGGAGCGACTTGGTGCAGGCCCCCAGTCTGTGAGGTGGGCAGGGCAAAGGCTCTGTGACCATCTGACTTCACAGGCCCGAGGCTGGGGCTCGAGGAAGCCGAGTGCTGCTGCTCAGGGGCAGAGCAGGTAAGAGAGGGAAGTGGGTCCTCAGCCCAGCCTGCCTCCACCTGTTCTCCTGACAAAGCACCAGGTCACTGTCACGGGTGGTGGCCTGCCTCCAGGTGGGAGCTCACACATAAGGCACAGGACAAGCCAGCAGGATTGAGGCCTCTGGCGACCAGGTGGGGTGAGGCCACGGAGCCATCCAGGGGGTCGTCCTTTTGTGCCCCTTTCCCTTGTTCCCTTTTTCTGTTTTAAAGGAAAAGCAGAGAGGCAGACTTGGGGAGCCCACGGGTCAGCCTGAGAGGCGAGAGAGGAGGAAAGAGGGCTCTGGCCTCTGGCGAGCCTCTGGCTGTGCAGCCGGGGGGTGCCTCAGCAGGTTGATGTTAATTTTAGCTTCTTCTTCTTCCTGTGGCACTGGAGATCGGATCCAGGGTGCCCGACCACTGAGCTACACCCCAGCCCTTTTATTTATTTTTTTCGTTTTTTTTCAGGGTCTCACCAAGTTGCCCAAGATGGCCTTGAACTTGTGATCCTCCTGCCTCGGCCTCTCGAGTCACTGGGATGACAGGCATGTGCCACTGCACCCAGCTAATTTAGCTATTTTAAGAAAGCCACAAGCATGTCAGTCTAGGAATACTCCCAATGCTCTGGAAGCCCTGAAACCTAGAGATGCTGGGTGCCCCTCCGCCAGAGCCCAGGAGAACAGGGGGCGGAGAGGGCAGGGCCCAGGGCTCCCGTCATGGACCTGGGAGATACGCTCAATTCTGCACCCGGGAGCAAGACCTCTTCCTGCTGCTTCTCCCCACAAGGCTTTGGGTACTTTCAACCACATGCTGGTATTTGAAAAAACCAATGCCAGATTATGATCAAAATGACTGTCCCCAAATATTGAAAATCACCAACTGGCTGAAGGAAATGAGAGCTCTGGGGTGGTGTGCAGAGGACCAGAAGCTGGTCTAGTGAATGTTCTGCAAGGCAGAGGAGAGTGAGCGGGCCATGGGGCGTGCTGGGGCTGCCTGCGGGTGTGAGGCCCCAGAGCTGTCTCCCCAGGTGGCTGCCAACAGCGCCCCCTGCCTTCCAGACCTACGAGGCCCACTGGCAAGAAGGAGAAAGGAAAAAAACGTACTGGTAGACGTCACTCGAAGAGGGGGCAGCGGTGGGTGGACAGCTGGCGGATCTGACGAAGATCGCTGCCTGCTTACACCGTCCACACCTACAGAGTTTGTCTTCCACAGGGTGTTAGCTGAGGAGGCTGCCTGAACTAAACCCACGCACACGCACACACATGTGCACACACACAGAACAAAAACAGAAACAAAACACTGCGTTATTGATCCTCTCACTTATCAAATGGCCACTCTGACCTTTCTAGAACGGCGAGTAGAACCCGAAACTTTACTCTCATCTTTGTGACCTGGAAGACAGATACCAATGGACGCTGAACCAAAGATGGTCCGGGGAACATTCCTGGCTGGCTTTCTCAATCTGATGGTGGAATGTAAAAATTCTTAACTGAAAATATATCACAATGTTCTGTTTGGGGACCATGGAACTTCTCATCTCTGCCTTTCCATTGTATCCTGCAGGCCACGGGAGTCACCCAAGCCATGCAGACAGCACCCTGTTCCCAGCCTGTACAAGTGGGGCAGGGTGCAGGTCAGCCACAGGGGAGGACCTTCTTCTGACTTCCTGTAAACTCTCTGGCTACAGATTGCACACAGAACCCAGAAGGTTCAGGTAACCCCCAAAGAGGTGGCACTTCCCTGGTCACATCATTCTCCTGCCATCTACTCAAGTGCACAGGTGTGACCCAGTCCCTGTGTCCCTGGCTGTGTACAGCCCGGGGGGAGGGGGGGCAGTGAAACAGGCCACACCCTCTCAGGAGGCCCAGGGTCTGGAGGAGCCTTCAGCGCCCTTCCTGTGGCAGGGTCGGCCACAGTGCAAGACCACCCACACCTAAGGAAGCTGTGAGCTTCCTTTAGACCAAGTGTGAACAAAATGAGAACAGGGAGACACAGGTGAGGGGTATAATCTATTGCATCTGAAGAAAGAATGAGGCTGAAGATGAGAATGGAAAGAAAAAGAAAAAGAAAAATCTGATTCCAGGAAACCTGGAAATACAGAAGAGCTTCACTACTCTTCCACCACCCGACAGGGCAGGACCGAGTCTCTCCTCCTGACACCCAGAGCCAGCCAGTAAAAGCCTCCAGTGGGAATAAAAATGCCCAAATGCTTTGGGTCTGAGCCTTTCAGAATAGACACACCTCTCCAGATGTGGGGACAGGGGGGACGGGGCACTGAGATGGCCTCGGCCAGCCCTGGAGGGCGATGGGCAGGTGCTCTGTGACTGAGCGGCCACTGCACTCCTTGCTCAGAGTTGGATCAGGCCCAGCGCGTGCTGTCTGGTTACAAAGCACTTGGCTGCCCAGGGGCGGTGAGCAGGCTGGCTCCTGGGTCTGGGGTGCAGGGATGCAACGCTGCTGAGGGCTGTGACTCCGTGGCCCCTGGGACAGGTCGATCATCATTCCCCTGGGCCCCTGAATGCTGGGTCAGGGCTGTGTGGGAGGATCCTTGCAATACCCAGGACAGTGGGGCAAGATGGGGTGCAGCCACACTGCCAATGTCATGCAATGTGAGGGCACATGGCTACGGGCCCACCTGAACCACCCCACACTTCCCTCTCCACAGCTAGCAGCCGCAGGCTCTACACCAGCTCTAGGGAGGCCCTTGGGCTCTCCAGTCTCAGCAGCGAAGACGGAGCAGCCCTCCTTGCCCCAGGAAGTCCCAAAGGCCACAGCCCATGGTGTCAGGTGCAGTCTGGGGTAAGCTGGTCACTTGGTAGGCCCACCTTCAAGAAGCATAGTGCCAGCTATTCCTCACTCTTAGATAAACTACTTGAGGATTTCAGTTTCCATATTTGTAAACACAAAAAATCTCACCTGTTAAGTCTCCTTGGCTGAGACAGAGCAGCTGAGGTTAAGTCGAGTGAGCTTTTCACACTGACAGCACTGGGGGAGATGATTCTGTATTTTTTTTTGGTGGTGGTGGTGAGGTACTGAGAACTGAACTCAGGGACACTCAACCATGGAGCCATGTCCCCAGCCCTATTTTGTATTTTATTTAGAGACAGGGTCTTACTGAGTTGCTGAGTGCCTTGCTTTTGCTGAGGGTGGCTTTGAACTCACGATCCTCCTGCCTCAGCCTACTGAGCTGCTGGGATTACAGGCATTCACCAACACACCCAGCATGATTCTGTATTTTCACCATTAGGCTGAACATTGTTCCCCAACTAGTATCTTTCTCCTTCATTCCATGAAAATCATGGTGATAAGAAGTAATCACTGGTGCTACAGGCTGGCCCTGATGCCGACAGAGGAGAAATAAGAAAGGAAAGAAAGAATAGAGGCCAGGAAGGGCAGTATGTGGGTAAGGGTTGCAGAGAGCATCCCCTAGCCCACTCCAGGCCCGCCTGGGGCAGCCCCACATCACCCAGACCACATAGGAGCCATGTCTCTGCCCAGAGTAAGAAGCCAATCAAAGATCTCTACCACCATTTGGCATTCTAAAAAAAGAAGAAAAAAATGGAAGAATTTCTTTAGGAGGCAAACAGAAAATAACTACAAAATATGTGCCCAATGTCACCTAGTTGGGGGCAAAGCAGGTGCAAATTTCTCAAACCCCCCTCCCCCCCAAACCAAACCCTCAATATATCTGCAGGGGACCAAGAAATTTCATACCCTTGATGACATTTCGAGGTGGGAGTGGGGGGGCACTGGTGGTGGTGGGGGCTGCCGGCTGGGATGGGGGTGGGCTGCCACTCAGGATGGCTCCATAGGTCTCGTTCTGCACGATGCTGGGCATGAACGCCCTCTGCTTGTCCTTGGTGAGGTTGGCAGCATCTCTGGCCAAAGACGTGGCATTAGGCTGAAGCTGGCTGGATCCCAGCTGGTAGAAACTGACAGGCCGGTCCTCCCGCCGGTTGGGACTGGGCTGTAAAGCAGTGTCAGAGCAGAGGTGTGAGGTGGAGATGGGGACCTCTGGCTGATGACGGCAATGCCACTGTGAAATCCACACTTGCACCACTTCCACTTGGCCTAGGACTCTCACCTGTGGCGGGAGAGCTGCAGGATTTAAAACCCACTCTGGTGTCTTGTAATTGAAACACCCATGTACACCATCACCACCCCGCCCCGAAAGCCATGGCTCACAAGTGACAATTCTCCATTCTGTGAAGGGAGCCATTTCATTTTACTGGCTAGAGTTATCTCTAACTAGCTCTTCCTGTCTCCCGGGTTCCCCTGTCCAAACACACCACCTTATGTTTGAGAACAACACGGATGACTCTGGCCACCTAGCTGCAATCACACCGACAGCTCTATGGCGGATCACCCCAGATCAATGTGTTCTCCCACTTTCACAGGAACTCCTGAGACTCCTCTAACTCAGGGGTCAGCCAGCCTTGGCCTGTGGGCTGCCCTGTTTTAATAAATAATTTTTTATGAAAAGATAGCTGTGCCCTATCACTTACATACTGTCTATGCCTGCTTTTGAACCACCCTGGCAAAGCTGAGTAGTGGCAATAAAAACGGACATTTCTGACCAAGGAGCCTCAAGTATTTACCGTCTGGCTCGCTAAGAGGTGATCCACGCCTACTCTCCCCATGCTTTACTGCAAACCTATGTATCCAATCATGACTCACAAGCTTAGATGCCACTTGCACTTCAAATGTCAGCCTCAGAATAGTAGCTTCATCGTGAGCAAATCACTTAACCTTGCCACCCTCACCCCTATCTATTAATGGGTACGACTTCCACTGTTTCTCCAGCACAGTCCCAGGAGCACGGCAGGCTCTCGGCATCAGCTGCCGGCTCCCTCTCACAGGGCTGTCCACCCACACCAGGCTCTGGTCAAGCCGGGCTCAGGGTGCAGAAGGCGGTGGCCAGTGGCTCTTTGCACAGATTTCTACATTCCAACAGGGCCCACAGATGAGGGGACAAAACACCTGCCACTCTCTGCTGAAAAGAACGGAAGTGGGTGGCAGAGTCTGGGTTTCAGGACACCAGGCCCAAGCCTTGCTGCTGCTCTCCTGGGCACCAGCCTGCTCTACTGCTGCTCCCAGGACGGAGAGGCGCTGCAGACTCCTCACAGCAGAGGCTTCCAGTTTTTCTTTCTTTTTTAAAGACAGGTAAGCGTGAAGTTAGCTCTTCTTGCTTTGATGCTGTTTTGTATTAACTCAGTGAAGACATTTCTTATTCTGTATTCTAAGGAATGGTCAGTTCAGGTGGAATGCTGCATGAGCCAGGGTTTCAGAAATGCTGTCCATCTCCCTTTCCCCTGTGTCAATCCTCTATCCATCTAGTAAATCCTCAATGTACTTCAGAACACAAAAGTCACACAGCAAAACAGGAAAGTGTGCTCACCATGCCACTTCCCCTCATTTTAACCCTAACCCTTCCCAGGGCTGCTGGCCACTGGGGGAGCTGGGAGACTGGGTTTTGCAGCAAGGCTCCTCAAGCTTGACTCTCAGATGCGACCTGGGTGAAGGTGGCAGCCATCCTGGGCCACCCACACGTGCCAGGCAGTGTGTGTGTGCTGAGAACAGAGCTGGACCAGCAGCAAGAGCCCTCCTGGTTCCAAGGCCATCTGGAAATGCATACTTCACCTTGGCCAGGCAACCTCTCTTGAGATTTCAATGTGCCCAGCCCAAAAGGAAAGGGTGAGACTCAGGGAGATGCAAGGGCTGTGGAATGATTTCATTTGAAGTTTTTGAGATCAGCCAGGCAAACATGCCCAGCCAGGTGACCGTGATGACCTGGGACAGAGGAGACCTGGCTCTTCCACCCGGGGCTCCACAGCAAGTAGCTTCCTCTGCAGCCACAGAAGCACAGGCAAGGAGCTGCCTACGACTGCAGAGTTGGCCTCTCTCTCCAGTGGAGTACAGAGGAGCTGGGAGGTAGCGGAGGTGGTGGAAGAGATAAACCCAAAACCTACTGGGGCCTGAACACGGAGAGCAGCTGCATTCCCTCTCTATGGAAAGCCTTCTTCCCGGGCTCCAGGCAGGGCCCACTGTGGGCTCTGTGCACAGGTGGCGACCCACACAGACCTGCAGCTTCTCGTCCACGTCATCGTCACTCTCGTCCAGGTCTTCATGGAGTAGCCGCCACTCATACTCCACGTGGACGTGAGAGTTAAACCTTCCCGATAGCGCCTGCGTCAGCTGGGAAGTACAAAGGACAGTCAGCACTGCTGCCAACACCCTGGGCACAGAGGCAGGGATCTGCAGGCTGTTTAGACAGACAGCAGACAGGCAGCCCAGGAGGAAGGGAGCCTGCACTCCATCCAGAGCAAGCTCCTTCCAGCCCCTGGGTGCAGTTAATCCCCCTCTACCTGATTGACAGGATAACCTTCACATTCAATCCTGGCAGCACCAGCGGGTGCTTATAAACTGTGAAGTACCGTACACGGGCAAGGGATGTTTGGAACCTAAAGGATCAGCCTGCAGGTATCAACACTACATATGCAAGCAAATTCAACCCTACTAGGAGAAGGACTGCATTCACTGGTAACCCAGCTTCTCGACTAGAACAAGCATGAAGCCCTGAATGAATGATCGGAACAACTATCTCCCCAGTTCTCTCAAGGTAGACAGCTAACTCCATTCTAGGTGCACAGAAGCGAATTTATCACACAGTGGTATTTAGGGCAGCAGGGCTTACTGCTCTGTAGAGCCAGACAGAAGCAATATGACCTTGTGTCTGCTTCCTCCTCCATGACAGCAGAAACTCTGTCATAGAGTAGTTCAAAGATTGCACGAGATGTGGATCTGAAGTGTCTAGAACAGAAACTGTCACTTAGCCCACTCCTTTAGCATTTGTTATCAAAAGTTCCGTTGGTCAAGCACTGAATATCTACGTGCTGAGTGCTTTATAGATTCAATAGTAACTCTCACCATAACCTTGCAAAGGGGTATAACTGACTTCACATATAAGGTGGCAGCTGAGCGCCTGGGGGTCTTTACCAAGTCACAGTGGCACAGTCCTACCACGGCCCTACTCTGCTGTCCCCAATGGTTCCTTCCTTCCTTCACACCCCCTACTTCAAGAACAGGAAAGGAAGATGGCTCAGGGCAGGACACATGATGTGGGGTTGAGGAACAAAGTAAGAAAGCCAGCTCAGAGCACGGCCAAGCAGGAGGCCTGAGGCACGCAGTGCAGCCTCCCTGCCGGGGCCAGCTGTGGCCAACAGGTCCACACAGCGGACACCCCGGGAGGGTGGTCCTCTGCTCTGCTACAACTCCCTAGCACGCTCTCCCCAGGTTGGGCTGATTCTTAGCATGTCCCACCCAGGACAGAGATCCACTCTGCGACAAGTGCCAGGGTAGGACAAGCCCTCCCATTCGCTGTCCCCAGCCGTGCCCCGCCCATCTGCTGGGGGAGACTCACCAGCTCCTCGCAGTGTTCATGCTTGAGGCGCTTGGCGATGTCCAGCGGGGTCTCTCCTGCCTCGTTTGCTAAAAGCCAAGGGCAAGGAAAGGAAGCGTCATGACAAACCCCGTAGGATCTGCCAGCGAGGGGCAGTTGACCAAAGATACCATGAGGCAGCACTACATTAACTGGAGCACAAGTCCTGAAATCCAGTTGGCCCGACCGCCGGGGGCTGGTGGATAACCAAGAAGAAAGTAACAGCAGAGAAGCCAAGATTGGAAAGGTTAAGGTTTGAGCCAAGAGAGTAAAACTGTTGACGTGCAACTGATTACAATCAATGTCCAAACAATAGCCATCAAATACAGCAGCATATCAATTCCAAACCCAGGGCACTGCTCCCTGTTCAGTGTGCTGAACGTAAGGTACCTTGAAACAGCTTATCACTTGCTTCTTCTAAGTAAATCTGCCAACAAGACTTGGTTGACTTTTAAGGAAGCAGCATGGCTCCCGGCGGTGGGCTGCCCTCGTGGCGGCGCGAGGCTCACCTATCTCGATGGAGGCCTTCCCGCGCAGGAGCAGCTTGAGGCACTCGGCGCTGTCCGTCAGGCAGCAGTAGTGCAGGGCCGTGCTGCCTTTGCCTGTCTGTTTGTCCAGGTTCCCGCTGCCGAGAACAGAGTCGGAGGAAACAGAAGGATTACTGGGGGTGCAGATGGCTCGGCAGGGACACAGGGCATGTGACGAGAGGCAGACGGAATCTGACTCATGAGTAACCAGTTTCTCCATCTTGTCCCATGAGAATACCAGGAAGTACAGGAGCTGGGGGCGGTTGTCAGCCCCAAGACCCACAGGCCAGGTGCCTGTATACTCCAGGTGCCTGTGTGGATGAGGCAGCCGTGGCCCAGGACATCATGGAGAGAACCCACGATGGCAGAGGCCAGGCAAGGGGCAGCTGTGCTGCTGCTGGGCTTGGGGAGGTGGGCAGCGTAGCTTTGGGCAAGCCTGAAGCTCCGGCCTCTTCCCTCTTCGCCTGTGCTGCCCACTGCCCAGCCTGCACAAATGTCCATCCTGTCCGTCTGCAGCATGGGCCAGATGAGCTGTTCGACCCTATCATTTGATACTCCTGCCAGGGAGGGGAAAAGCTTCTCCAGGATAGGGTTCCCTGCTCCTGAGACCCTGGAACTGCCCCCTTGCTCCCGTGACCCTGGAACTGCCCTCTGAGTGCAGTTAGGGGCTGCTTCAGAAGAGGCTCTTCTGATACAAATGAGCCCAGGTCATCCAAATACAAATTTCTGATACAAATGAGCCCAGGGGCACGTGCTCCACAGGCATGGGACAAGCTGTTCCACACGTAGACACCACCATCATAAAGGCAGACAAAGCCTTGGGCCTCTAGACAGACAAGTGGGGATGGACGTGACTTCAGGGGGTGGCACCAGAGCTCCTGCCAGGAGGAAACCAACTACTTTTCGAAGTAAGACAGAGCACCTTCTCTCTTCTTTTCTTTTTTGTTTTTGTGCTGGGGATGAAACCCAGGGCCTCATGCAAGCTAGGCAAGTGTTCTACCTCTGGACTGCACCTCGCCCAAGCCTCCTTTCCTCATCTATCCTCTACTGCTCTCTTCCCTCCATCCCAGAAGTAAAGAAACCAGGTTCCCCCTTCTTCCCCTGGAAAGTTTGTACAGGGAAAGGCATTATCCCGGACTGACCGACACCCATGGAGCCCCGCTCTGCTCCAGGCGCTGGGCTGCTGCCGAGGACAGGACATCTGGCTCCACCAGGAGTCTAGTGAACCAGGGCTCCTCAGGAATGGCCTGTGGGTGTTGGGGCTGACAACCCCCAGCTCCTCTACTTTCTAGCTGCTTTGTTACTCCTCTGCCAGGAATCATAGGGAAAAGCAGAGGACACAGAGTGCAAACTATTCCACTGCTTTCGCATCATGGGATCTTCCATGCCACTTGGAGCTATTTTGGTGGTTTTCAACCAGCACCCTCCAGTACACACCCCCCCTAAATCGTGGTCAGGAAAAGGCCTTGAGGTCTGGACTCCAGTGCCAGGCAGGTGGCACATGGTGAAGCACATGCACAGAACAGCACACTAGGGCCTGGTCAACTGTACCTGCATGTCTCAAAGGCCATTTCCAGAGAAAGCACACAAGCCATTTCTCAGCCCAAGGCAAGTCAAGTACTCATGACCCAGTGTTCTGGTTCAAGACCTCCACTGCCCTCTCCTCTCCCCTACTCGGGACATGCTGTCTGGGACAAGGAGCCCCACCCACAGGGCGAGGGGAGGAACCTGCCAGTGTACAGGATGCGGGGTGGGGCGCGCACCACTGCTCCAGGGCTCCCAGGTCAGCAGCCACACATCCCTGGGGCTGTGAGTCCCAGGCTCTGAGCCTGGGTTTGGATTTCCCTAGCACAGCCTTGCGACGCCCACACCTGGCATCTTCTCTGTCCCATGACTCATGCTCAGACTGCACATGCGAGTATCTCTGCAGCACAACCCAAGCAGCGAGGCCTTGCTGCCGTCCTCAGGAAGCCCAGGGAGCAAAAACAAAAGCCCTCCCCCTGCCCTGCGCCAAGTTCAGACACCCACCTGTTCTGAACCAGAAAGTCCACGATGTGAAGAGAAGTCCGATCCACGGACCTGACGGCAAGGTGCAGGGCTGTCTCATCCGGCTCCTGGAAACCAAACGGAGACATTGTAGCCTTCCAGCGGCAGCCTTCAATATTGTGTCCAGCTCAGCAAAGTTGTGTCTATCCCTTCCAAAAGTGTTCATCCTTTCTTTCAAAAAAACTTATCTCTAAGGTACGGAGTGCCCACTAATTTCCACGGCAAACTTCTACCTGTCTACAAAGAGGAAGAGCAAGGGGGCACTCCACAGCCTGCTGGTGCCTCGGCTCACATCTAAAGGAGCCTGTCAGTCACTAGGAGAAAGGTTCCTGCCCTTGTCACAACACCCCCACCTGGGGAGCTTGGAGTGGCCCTGAGAGGACATGGTTGAGCCCCACAGGGGCTGAAGTGTATGTCCCTGAGGCACTTGCAGAAGGCTGGGGCATCCACCAGCCCCTTGGCACTAATGGTTTACTAGAGACCCTGAGGGTTCCCTCAAGTCTGGGGGATGTTTCCCACCCACCCCCTCAGGGAGGAGAGTGCATGGGCTGCAGGCTGCAGGGAACTGGCCCTCCTAGGGCACTCCTCAGGTAGCCTTGGCTGACCCTGCTCACAGAAGAGAGGTCCTTGCAGGCTGCACAGGTGTGCTCCCTCGGTTTCAGGCCTCAGGACAGGCTTGCTCTCCAGAGTTGGCATTTCATTCGAGGTTTAAGAATAAACCAACACCCAAAGCTTTGGTTGGGAGGAATGTGTTCTGGAGAGCTACTGCACAGCACAGTGATGGCAGTTCATAATAGTCCCGTGTTAAGCATCTCTGAGACGTTCTCACCATGAGAAACATGTAAGGTGAAGACATGGCAACAGCTTGATTCAGTCATTCTACAGTGGGAACACATCTCAAAACTCCCACTGTCCATAAACATATGCACAGGTTGAGCATTCCTAGTCCCCAAATCCTAAATCCAAAATGCTCCAAAGTACAAAACTTTTTAAGCGGTGAGCAACACATAGAAAATTCCACACCTGACCTCATGTGACTGGTTGTAGTCAAAGCACGGGGATCCTAGAGATATTACAAAATCACCTTCAGGCTATGTGTAAGAGGTATATGAAAATGAATTCTGTGTTTAGACTTGGGTCCCATCCCTAACACATCTCATATACAAATATTCCAAAATCTAAAAACAATCAAAGTCCAAAGTACTTCTAGTCCCAAGCATTTAGGATTAAAAAGTGCTGAACCTAAGAAATTACTTGCCAATTAAAAATAAATAAATAAGCCACCAGATTCTCCTACGGAACAGAGCAAATTCTGCTCTCCTGGAGAATGGCACAGCGTGAATTCTCAAGCCCAAGACCCTGCCCTGCTGCCCTCCCTTGCTTCCCTCTGCTTCCTAGAAGCAGCAGCCACATGCTCACATGTCCGTTGGCCAGCGGGATCTTCTCTGTGAGGTCCACGCCATCAGCATAAGCTTGCAGTAACCCAAGAATGTCTCTGTTCTTGACGGCCTCACAGAGGCTGTGCAGCTTGGCGGCGCTGTCTGCGTGCTTCTTCCTCGCATACCTCCTCTCCAGGTACTTGGCGGTGATGTAGTCCTTCCTGGCATTCCTGAAACCACACGACATTGCCGGTGAGCCACTAAGGCCCCCGCTCAGTCCACCTGCAGCCACCTTCAGGATCCTGCCCACCCTCCCCCCAAGCAGCGCTGGTGGCAAAGCGCCAGGTGGGAGCTGTGCTTCACCTGCAAGCGCCCATTCACCCCGACCCTGGGGCTCCTTCTACTGGTACCCTATGTCTCTTGTCTCCAACATCGGAGGTGTCAATGCCCTGCGCAGCGTCCTGGGCCAGACCCAGCTGTAAGGGCCAGCCAGCCAGGTGGGCGACCTGCCATGCTCTCTCAGCGGCTGCCCCTGCCACACTCTGAAGTTCCGTGCTCCGACCTCCCCGAGCTGCTGCCCTGTCACTCATGTCCTCGTCTGCACCTTCCCCACCCACACCCTCCCCACAGCATGCTGTGTCCTTCTCTGCTGTGATCCATGTCCCTCCCATTGCTGTTCCTGGGCCACCTCTGCAGGCCTGCCCTGGCCTGCCCTCTGTTCAGAGTCTCCCTGGTAGTTTGCCTGCCTGCCCACCTGCCCAGGGGGCATGGACTCCATGTCAGTGTGCCTCAAAGCCACTTCCTGTCAGATGAACCAAAGGGAACTGCCCCTCTTCTGTGCACTCTCTGTTCTGGCCTGTGCTCAGACACCACCCTTCTCAAGAAGCCTGGAAAGGCAGCCCCGGAGGAGCCAGGGTTCAAATCCCACTCTAACCGCATGCCGAGCATTTGAACTTGAACAAATACTCACCCTAGGCCTCACGCTCTCTGATTTGTAAAAGTGCACCCAACACATCCTCCCAGCAGTGTCATCCTTACCGGATGTGTCACCTAAGCAGAGCGCACAGTAGGTCCTAGGACCTTGGAAAGTGCTGATGCACTTGAAAGATGGAGACCAAGAAAGCTGGCAGCTTGTGAGAGGGCTGAGCACTTTCCAAACCGAGTCACACTAAAGGTCTCATCAAGAGCGACTCCTGAAGACCCAGACAACACGGAAGGGCTGAAGTGCTCGCGCCAATCAAGCCAGAAATGCCACGGGCAACCCAAGCAACTGGCGAACACAGACGGCAGGGCGCCCGTCTGACACAGTGGGGGGCGGCACAGCAGGGGAAGCGCTGACCTACGCCAGCACGGACAGACGCCGCACAATCTACAGACGGAGATGTCCAGACTGGCCAATGTGTAGAGGTGGGAAGCAGGCTGCCCAGGGTGGATGCACAGGGACCCTCAGTAGGCTGTGGCTCACGGGTACAGGGTTTTGTTTGGAGTAAAAAAAAAAAAAATCTGAAACGGACTGAGCTGGGGGGTGGTCCTGCCTGTCATCCCAACTATTCGGTGGGTCGGGGCAGGAAGATCACCGAGTTCAAGGCCAGCCTGGGCGACTCGATGAGACCCTCCATCATCTCCAAGAAATAGGTAAAAAATAAAACAAAATTGACTGTGGCAATGGGCACAAAATCTGTAAAAACACTAAAAGCCACTAGATCGTGCAACTTTCAAAGGCACAAATTATATTGCAATAAAACAGCTTAAAAAAAAAAAAAAGGTCACAAAAACCAATTTCCACTGACAACAGACACACAGATAGAACGGCCTGACAAGACCCGATTCCCCGGTCCCTCCTGCCCATGTCAGGAAGGTAGGAAACGAAGTTTCCGTGGGCTGGGCAGGGAGGTGACTGAAAGGAAGGGCCTGCACTGCCCCCAGGACAAGTCTGCTTGGACGTCAGGAGGGTCTGGGCCAGACGGTCAGACTCCCAAGGGGCTGACCGCATCCCACTGTGTGACCTCGCCGAGTGACTCACTGCGGAGTAAAACCAAGGCCAGGGCTGCCTCGTGTGGCTCTGCAGGACGGAAGGAGACAGTGCTCCCAAGCACTGAGCCAGCACTTTGGACTCGCCAGCTGTAGTTACTGTAGACTCAGCACTGAATGCGGAGGAAGGCGGCCAGGCACACAGGCCCCGGCTGCTCTTCACAGCTCAGGGCTGTGCCAACCCCATCCTCATCCACCGCTGCTCAGTCCCCAAGGCCTCATCAACACTGGGGTCCTGGCTCAAGAACACCGGGGCTTATGAGTGGATGGGTCAGCTCCAGGCTTTCAGGGGAGGGCAGGGCTCCAGTCGCAGAGAGAAACACACGGCTGATACCTCCTGAGCCAACAGAGCCCGCGGTCCCACGCTCTCCTGTTCCTCTTAGGCTCCAGTGGAAGGGACGGAGGGAGAGAGCGCTTCTCTGCCTTCCCATCAAATGCCTACAGGTGGTACTTCCCTGAGCAAGGGCCCAGACCACCCCGCTGTGGGTACAAGATGCAGACAACCCGGTCCCTGGGAAACAGAAACTGGAGGAGGGCCAGGTAACCTGTGGTCTTGGTTCTCGCTGAAGGTCAAGAGCCATTGACCACATGACCTCTAGAGTCCTCACAGGACAAGAACCAAGCAGGAACACAGCGGCCTACCCTGCTAGAGCTATGCCTGCTCCTGGCTGGACTGGCATTCCTACATGCTCTCTCCTAACGTCCCTCTCTCAGCCGCCTACTATATAAGGACGGCCTGTGGCTGCTGGAGTAGCCATGGGCTTTCTTTACCTGTACCAGGGCCATACAGGACGACCTGTCCTCCTTCAGGGGTGCCCTGTGGGATGGAACTCCAAGCAGAGAACAGAGTTTACCTGTCTGGGGGTCCCTGGAGAAAGTACCCTCCAGGAAGGGACCCCCCACAAATCCAGACCAAGCCATAGGGCAGGGTCTCTTCCCACGCTGGCCGGGCCCTGATGCCCTTGCTGGGCCCACGTTGCTCCTGGACAGGCTGCAGCAGTGGGGCAGGTTTCTGGCTGGAGAGGAAACCTTGTTCCAGAGCACCAGCTCTGAGTGTCACAGCCCAGGAGGGACTTCCAGGGGCACCAGGCACCTCTCGCTTCTGTCCTCAGTCTGCCCATCTGCAGGGCCTCACTTGAGGCTCCATCCTCAGTGTCCCCCAGCACACTGCCCCCCCCATGCTGCTGACCTGCTGGTGGAGATGCCACAATGACCCAGTGACCTGAGGGAGACAGGTTCTCACTGGATCCTCCAACAGGCCAGGAGGCTGGGTCTCCACCAGGTGGCTTCCTTAGGCAGATCCAATTCACGCATGGAGGCCACTGACAGAGCTGTGATGCTTAGGACCTGCCCAGGCCCCGGCCTGCCGGAATGTCAGGCTGGGCAGCCCTTAATGACAGAGATTCCAAGAGTGACAGGACCACTGCCAGGTTTCCCCTCTTTCAGTAGCACTGGGGACGGTGCTTGACCCTGGCAGGTGGGGGCAGAGGCAGACCGGATTCCCTCTGCTTGCTTACTTAATGGACTGTTTGTCTGCCCAGGGCTCTGGTCCCCTGCACGTGGTTCTGACCCAAAGGCAGCACGAGTCTGGGCCACCCACGCCACAGGCCAAGCCTGTGCTCCAGAGCAGCACCTGTCCCTGTGCATTTGAAGGCTGAGGCCTGAGGACAGCAGTTAGCTCAACAGAACGACCCATCTGGCACCCGGCAGGGGCTTTCCTGGCACTTCCGAAGGACACGGGGACAGCTCTAACCTCTGTTCGCAGAGGCACATCCGGCCCCTCGTGGCCTAGTCAGGCTGCTCCACGCCTGGGAAATCCATCTGGGGATTCGCAGGCCACGAGAGGGTGTCTTTGGTTTCCCCTTCAACAGACTTGTCTGCAGATGGAGTGCTGTTCTTAGATGAAGCTAGAAATAGCACACTCCTTTTCACTGAGATGAGAGGTATTCCCTTACTGAAGCAGGCACAGAGCTGGGCAAATTCCTTGACCTGTGGATTCAGTAAATATTTACGGGACCACCACAAGCAGCACACTGTGTGGGAGATACGAACATGAGAATCCTACAACTTATCAGAACAGTCCTGTAAAAGCCCAGGTGCAAGACAAAGAAGGACGGGGCCTTTCAAGATAGAGCTGAAGGCAACAGGAGCAGAGAGCGCCCTGCGATTCTTTCAGCTGGACAGTGGGCAACGCCTCACCCTTATACTGGGCATCTACCCTTGTTGTGAGAAAAAGAAAAAAGGGGGGCTGTGGAAATGTCCTTGGTAATAGTGCCAAGTGGGGAGGGGTTCCGCAGACAGACCACTGATGTGGAAATGCTCCAAACCAGAGGTGCTTGTCTTAGATTCATGCAGCCCCCGAACAGACGAGTAGTCTGCTTTCTAAGGAACATCCTCGTACTTGAAAGAAATTATCACCTGCTTTGTTCAAAATGGACAACATTACAGCATTCCAGGGGACCGACAACTTCCCTGTGAGAGAAGCAGCAGAAAGACCAGGTGTCAATCAAACAGCTGTGCCTGAACTTGGCACCCTGGGCCAGGACGCTTCCTGCATTTAAGCCAGATCCCCAGCTACCCCGCAGGGGGGGTTCACCTCTGGATAGTCTGACTGAAGGGGCCCGCCTTTCACCAGGTGTGCGGCGTCACCACAGGGCACCCCGTGGCCCTGCCACCCACACAATGAAGAGCAGGCAGAGCAGCCAGCACCAACACCCAGTCCCAACCTCGTCACTCATTTCCCAGCACCTGTGAGGTCAGAGGCTTCCCTCTTGATACTAGAGGCACTCGGGGTTGAGGCTCAGAGAAGTTAAAGAACCTACCCCACAAGAGAAAGGAACAGAAAGCACAGCTAGAAAGGAAGGAGTTAAACTATCACTGTTCACAGATAAAGTGTTCCCTCACTTAGACCCAGAAACCTCCTCCAGAAGACTTTTAGAGATTACAAATTCAGCAAAGTAGCAGGACACAGAATCAACATATAAAATCAATAGGTCTTCTGCACGCCAATAATGAATCCACTGAAAAAGGAATTAGAAAAAAATATTCCATTCCCAATAGCCTCAAAAATAAACAAACCTGGGAATAAATTTAACCAAGGAGGTGAAAGACCACCACAGTGAAAAATTACAGAGCACTGAAGAAAGAAACTGAGGACATTAGAAGATGGAAAGTCCTTCCTTGTTCTCGGACAGGTGGACAGGCGGACAGGCGGAATGAATGCTGTTAAAACGGCTGACTCTCCCAACGCTGCACCCAGACTCGGTGCAACCCCCATGAAAACACTGATGACATTCTTCACCGAACTAGAAAAAACATTCCTAAAATTCACAGGAAGACAAAAGACACAGAACAGGTTCTGAACAGTAAGAGCAGGGCTGGAGTAACGCTCCACTTCAAGTCACACTACTGGGCCACGGTGACAAAACAGCATGGTACTGGGGTCACAACAGAGGCGCAGACCAATGAAATAGAAGACACAGGCAAACCCACACAAAAACCGTCATCTGATCCTGGACAAAGGCGTCCCAAAGACACCATGGAGAGAGACTGCCTTTGGGGATTTTTGCGGGGGATGGGTGAGGAGGGGATGTGACCAGGGATTGAACTCAAGGGCACTTACACACTGAGCAACATCCCCAGCCCTTTTTGATACAGGGTCTCACTAAGTTGTTTAGGGAGTTGCCAAATTTCTGAGACTGGCTTTGAACTTACAATCCCCCTGCCTCAGCCTCCCCAGCCACTGGGATTACAGGCATTCCAAGACAGCCTTTATAACAAACGGTGCTAAGAAAACTAGTTATCCATACGTAGTAGAATAAGACTAGATCCTTATCTCTTACCCTGCACAAAAGTCAACTTAAAGTGGATCAAAGATCTAAGAACTAGACCGGGAGCTGCAACTGCTAGAAGAAAACATATAGTCAACACTCCAACATATAGGAACAGGCAAGCCTTCCTCAATAGGAAAAAAAAAAAAAAAAGAATCAATGTATGGGATGGCATCAAATTCAAAGGCTTCTAATAAAATCATGGCATTTGCCAGTAAGTGGATGGAACCGGAGACTGTCATACTAAGTGAAATAAGCCAGTCCCAAACAATGAAAGGCGAAATGTTCTCTCTGACATGCAGATGTGAGCACACTAAGAACTGAAGTACACTGGATTAGACAAAGGGGAATGAAGGGAAGGAAGGGGCGATGGGGATAGGAAAGACAGTGGAATGAACCAGACGTCACTTTCCTATGTTCATATATGAATACATGACCTGTGTAACTCCACATCACGTACAACCACAAGAACAGGAAGTTATACTCCATGTATGTATGATATGTCAAAATACATTCTACTGTCATGTGAAACTAAAAAGAACAAATGAAAAAGTTTAAAAAAAAAAACCCAGAAATTTAAAAGCTTCTGCATAGTAAATCAGAATGAAGAGAGCCTACAGAATGAAAGATAATTTTCAGCTACTCTTCCAACAGATGAATATCCAGAATACATAATAAAGCTAAAAAGAACCCCATCAAAAATAGAAACAAATATCCCAATTCAATGAGAAAGCAAAAAAACTAAACAGATATCCCTCAAAAGAAGAAACACCAATGGCCAAATACACCAAAAAATGTTCGACATCCTTATCAATCAGGGAAATGCCAATCAAAACTATTCTGGGATTTCATCGTACTCCATTCCCTTTGCATAGTTCTGCTTCCTCACCTGTCAAGTTGCAGAACACAAGAGACCCCGCAGCCTCAATTCCCAATACATGCCCCACAAGATGGTACAGAAATCTCAATTCTCTGCTTTTAAAAGGGCCCGTCTACTGCTACCTACCCATAAACCCACAGGGGATTGAACTCAGGGACCATGTCCCTAGCACTTTTTTGTATTTTATTTAAAAAGAGGGTCTCACTGAGTTGCATAGGGCCTCCATAGGTTGCTGAGGCTGGTTCTGAACTTACGATCCTCCTGTCTCAGCCTCCTGAGCCAGTAGGATTACAGGCATGTGCCGCGGCACCTGGCTGGCAAACCCACACTGTTTAGGAGGACCCATGCTATCACTCATTTCAGGTTTATTCCAAGGCAAATGCTGTCTCTGAAAATGGATTTGTGTGCTTTCTCCCATTTCATCTTTTTGGCTTTTCCCTCTCCTCCAGGACACCTGGACACAGCCTCCCTATGCAAATGCAAAGCAGGCAGAACCAAGAATGAAGAGAGAGATCTCCTCTTTGCTGGTTAAACCAGCCCTGAGCCCTCTTTGGGCAGACAGGCCACCTTCAGACAGAGCTGAGGTCTAGGTGCAGGACAGGCATTGCAGTGGCCTAAGAGTCCCCCTATCCACCTCTTAAAGACAGCTGGGTGGGGTGACGTCAACCTTGATAAGATGGCAAGGAAATTCCCGGGGATGCGTGCTGCCTCAGAGGCCCTCTGCATGCACGGCGAGGCACGAATGCTTCCCAACCAAACACACAGTTTTTCTTGGAGGAAACAACACATGCTACGCTTGCAAAGACACCAGCGAGGGAATGGTGCAGAGTCCCAGATCACGACAGCCAGCCCCTGAGGGGTGCAGACTCCAGACAGAGCCAAGATGAGAAGCTGCCCAAGGGCACGAGCAGCAGAGGCAAACATCCGGGGGTCACTCAGGCCAGCAGCAGGGGACTCACTACGACGCCACCTTCATGTGCACACAGCTGCTGAACTGCTGTCCCTTGGCCACTCCTAAAACCCCAGCTGTACCAAGTTTCTACCAGACACAGAATAAGGTGAAAATGACTAAGAAGCAAACAAACAAGAACACCCACATAAGCTAACTGACTTCCCATAGAGAGGGACAAATGGGGTGGCCCAAATCCGCTGCTCCCCGCCTCGCAGGGCTCGGGTGGAGGGCGACTCAGTTCAGGAAACGAGCACCGCCAGTCCCATACTCACATGTCGCTGCCTGGCCTGGGCTTGACCGAGTCCTCCGCCGGGAGGCAACACTCCATGATGTCGTTGAAGCCCGCGTTCCCAATATTCTTGGCAAGCTGCAAAAACAAAAGCCTATTTCAGGGCACTCAATTATTAATACATTCCACAGCCACCCATTACTCATACATCTGATGATTTATTTAGTGGCCACTAAGAAATAGAGCAATAAAGTGGTTTGCCTTTAATGAAGACGGACAAAGCTCAAAGCCCAAAGGCACCCGTAAAATCACAGAAGAGACGCAGCAAGCCCTCTCCAGAGGACTTCACACGAAATGCCCCCGGGCTGTCCCCACAGACTCAGGGAGAAGCCAGGTGCCACCCTCCCCTGCCCTTCTGAAGGCCTGGGCTCCCACTGAGACGGGTCGACTCCACATCCTCAAACGACCTTCCTCAAGCCAGCTACGAGGTGCGATGACAGTGCAGGGGAGATGGGGCCAGGAAGCCAAAACTTCGGTCTGTGTGTCCACAGGGAGGCCAGCTGACCGGGGGCCAGTCTCCACGGGCAGGGGAGGAGGCCTGGCCCCACAGGGTGGCAGCAATGTTCAAGTGGGACAACCTAGGTGGCAACACTCAGGAAACTGTCCCGTCGGCCCCAGCACAGGGCTGGATGTGGCAGCCAGGCTTCCGGCTTGGCAGACACGAAGTGGACACCTTTCCACGGGACGCTCTCTGGACTCCAGGGTCTGTGCTCCACGGGCAGCCACCAGGCACCTGCTGTGAGGTAAGCGACCGACAGGGCAACCGGCCTGCTTGGGAGGAGCGGATGCAAGGCCAGGAGTTCTTAAAACCAGGGACTCCTCCTCCTTCCAACACCCAGCACGGCCCGAGCAAGTCAGCCTCCAGGTCAGGGATGGAGCCCAGGGCCTCCCATGACTAGGCACATGCCGGCCACAGAGCCACACCCCGTCAGAATTCTTGCTGGCCCCAGGGATTGAACCCAGGGGCACTGAGCCACGTCCCAGCCCTTTCTATTTTGAGACAGAGTCTCACTAAGTTGCTGAGGTGGGCTTTGAGTTCTCGATCCTCTTGCCTCAGCTTCCCCGGTCGCTGGGGATTACAGATGTGGGCCACGTGCCCGGCCAGGTCAGAGTTCTTAAATGCTTCATGAAACACTAGTGAAGGGACCTCTTATCAGAGTGTGGTGTTTTGAGAAAAATGTATTTTAATTTCCACATTGAAAATGATATGTTTGGGAAGCTGGTGACACTTCTGATAGTTAACTCAATTAATTACGCTGACAAAGTGTTAATGGGGGTCTCTGAGAGGTCCGGCTACTGCCTGAGCAGTCTGCTTTATCTCCAGGGAGAACTGGCTTAGGAAACAGCAGAAGGGATCTGGGTCAGACATACTGGGAACTTCCTGATGGGTACTAATACCCAACACCGAGCTGGGATGGCAAAGGGTGTGGAAGGTGTTTTTTTACACAGGACCAAACAACTACATGGAGCCTCTTTGTCCCTGAGGAGTGAATCAGGTGCACAAAGTTAATGGCTCAAAGCACTAACGAGCTCCACCTCCTCACTCAGTCCTGGCTCTGGGTCCTCAAGCCACTGTGAGAAGGCAGAAGCTCAGGTTGCCAGGTCCAAGTCTCCTGGACCCAGACACCTGAAGCTAGCGCAGGGTGGCACACCACAAGATGACGAGTACCGACCCCCTCGGGGCCCAGCCCTGTGAAGGATTCCTAGGGCAGTTGCGTCACAGGCAGGGCTGCATCTCAACAGAACCCCTGGCTTACAGGCAGGCCGGCCCACACCTGCCCTGCAGTACCAGGGGACACCACCCCCAGCCAACAACACTGCCCCCCAGAGCTGCCAAGACCTGGTTGTTTTCCAGCCCGCAGAGAACCCCTTTGGAACCAATCGCAAAGACAAAAGCATGCACGATAGCAGCCACAGGTTCCTATCAAGAAAACGTGAGCCCAGCAGACTGAGTGGGGAGCACCCAGGGAGCAGGAAGGCAGGGGCTCACCAGAGCCCCGACAGGGAGGCATTCCTGTGCGGAGGTAGGACTGACTAGATCTAGGAGAGGCAGAGTGCTGTGGGCACAGTCGTTCTCTGCCTGGGGGGGCTGGGTCCACGCTCCAGGATGCCCAAGTCCTTCATATGGGATTGCAGGCACCCTGTAGTCTCCTACTGGACACTTCAAGTCACCTCCAGACCACCTACAACATCTGCTCGATGTCAGTGCCACTTAATAGCTGTCCTCCTCTGTTGTTTAGGGAATAATAAGGAAAAAGTCCGTAATGTTCCCTGTGGAGTAACGACACGGTATGCAAACCAGGCTCGGGCAGAGCGGAAGGGAAGCCACGGCAGAGTGTGTCTACACCACCACCATCGGAGTGGATGCAGTGTGATCTTCCACACAAGGCAAATTCAAATTCTGTTTTTTTATAACTTTCTAGAATTTCTTTCAAAAATTTCTGGTGGAGGTGGGTTGAATCCATGAAAGCAGAGCCTGAGGATACAGAGGGCCCGTCTGTGCTTCATTGAGGCAGTGAAATCGCAGCCCTAGCCCTCAGCCTTCACACAGCCTCCTCCTCATGGCACAGGGACACCACTGTGGGCTGCCCAGTCGGGTGGGCTCAGCAGGTGAAGACAGTGCTACCCAGGAACCTGGCAGCCAGCTGGCCTCTGTCAGCCCAACTCAGGCTCTCTTTCTGTTCACCTGCCTCTCTCCCCGAGGATGCGCAACCTGGACGGAGAACTGGGCTGTTATGAACAGGGTCCCCTGGATCCCCGGGGGGGGGGGCGGGGGAGGTGGGAGAGGATGACACACTCTGACACACACATGCCTGGTGGCCTAGGCAGGAGATGAGATGTGCACTAAGTATGCACAGTGCCTCTCCCAGGGTGGGCACAGAGGACACCCCGGGGTGCAGCAAGCAAGCCCACAAGCTCTTTCTCTTTGATATTTCTGACAAAGCACACAATTTGGGTGCTCAGTGTTGTCTGCAGGGCTCCGGCCATGCAAGGTTCAGAGCTGTGACTCATGAAGAAGGTTGGACACAGGCTCTGGAGCCCAGGGACCCATGTGCAAGTGCGGGCCCCAGTTTTCAGAGTCCTCAGACAGAATACAGAGTGGCCACGACATGTTATTCAACGAATGGCAGCGGGTGGTCAGTTTCTCATGAACCCTAAGCCACTGCTTTTAGGATGCAGAGTGGCTTATCTCAGTCACAGAGACAGCAGTGGTGAGGCGAAAAAACCCTGGCGCGGTGGGGCTTTGTCCTCCCGCTCCACGCACTGCTCCAGGCCAGGCTGTGGGCTGACCTGTGCGAGTGTCTGATGGCCTCACAAGACGGGCAAGAGGCAGAGTTGAGTCCACTCACAGCTGCTCCTATGGTTCCTGATGCTTGTTCTTCTACTTGATGGGAGACGATTAACTTCACCTCAAAACACCCAGGTACATTCATTCATCCAGGGTGGTGCTGGGGACGAGCCCAGTCCTGCACACGCTGGGCCAGCGCTCCGCCCTGAGCTGTGTACCAGCACAAGGTTTCCTTCACTACCTTCACTGTGATAGCGAAATGGAGCAGAGTCATAGGCCAGTACCAGTGACGATGATTCCCTATGACTTGAAAAAACGCTGAAATCATGATGTTTTACACTAAGGAGGAAATTTATCTTTTAAAAATCTCAGCTTACTTGAAGGTTTTCTGAAAGCAGGTTTGTTGAGAATCTAAGCCTATTAAGCTGAAGTGTGCTAAAATCTTAGGAACTAATCAATTAATACTTCAATTACTCAAGCTCCATTTCACGGACTGAGAAGGGATTCCAAAAGCAAGTAAAAAGGAGAAAAGATTATTACTGACCAGCCACCTCCACGGATGCTGCTCAAGTTCATCCATTTAACAAGGAAAGCAAGCGTGCTTTCAAACAACTGTGGTTCAGGAGGGAGTCGCACCCACGGTGCAGCAGCAGGGCCTGCAAACCCGAGGCCAGAGAATAACTCACAGAATTAAGTGAAGCACCGTGTGGGAGGACAGGGTGACACTCTAGTGGGTGAGCACCTATCTGTTTAGGGACAGGACGCCAGACAGAAAAGGAGAATGCAGCTGAGCCAGGCCCCACTCAGCACCTGCTGCCAGGCCATGCCCCACTCAGCACCTGCTGCCAGGCCACACCCCACTAAGTACCTCCTGCCAGGCCACGCCCCACTCACCACCTGCTGTCAGGCCATACACTCCCCACACACCTGTATCAGGCCATGCCCTACTCACATACCTGCTGCCAGGCCATGCCCACTAAGCACCTCCTATTAGGCCACGCCCCACTCACCACCTGCTGTCAGGCCACGCCCACTCACCACCTGCTGCAGACCACGCCCTCCACCTGCTGTCAGGCCATGCCCACTGTCCACCTGCTGCCAGACCACGCCCCCCCATGCAGCTGCAGTCAGGGCCATGCCAAGCTCAGCACCTGCTGCCAGGTCACATCTGCTGAGCACCTGCTGTCTCTCACAGGCTATTTGAAAACCTCTCCTTGCCAACAAAAGCTAAAATAGATAAAAAATGGCACTGCATCAGATTAAGAAGCTTCTTCACAACCAAGAAAACAAGAGTAAAGAGACAACCTGTAGAACAGGAGGGAATATCTGCAAATACACACATCTGACAAGGAGACAATGTCCAAAATATATAAAGAACTGAAAAAAAAAAACTCAATATCCAGAAAAACAAATAGCCAAAGGACCAAAATAGGCATTTCTCAAAAAGAAGACCTATGAATGGGCCACACGCACAGGCTGGAGTGCTCAGCATCACTGATTACCAGGGAACTGCAAATTTAACCACCACCACCACCACCTTGCACTCATCACAATAGCTTTTATCAGGAGTCAGGGCTGGGGTGTGGCTCAGTGGTGGAGCGCTTGCCTAGCAGGTGCGCGTGTGCGAGGCCCTCACTCCACGCCCAGCACTATGCCAAAAAAAAAAAAGGCAAAAGTTAACAAGTGTCAGTGAGAAGGCGGAGGAAAGTGTCAGTGCACATTCCCTGCACACTGCTGGTGGGAATGTGGATCAGCACAGCCACCGTGGGGAAGCACACGGAGGTCCCTCAAAAACTAAAGTAGGTCTGCTGACGTTCCAGCAAGACGAGCACCGGAGGATGGGGATGTCCGTGTGTATTCAAAGGAAAGGAAACCAGCACGTCAAAGAGATGCCCACACCACAGCAGCCTCACACTAGCAAAGATACGGAATCCACTGAAGTATCCACCAACGGATAAACGGGTAAGGAGAAGCGGGTACGGATATCTACAGTGGAATACCATTCAGCCTTGAAAAAGCTGTCATTTGCTTTTTAAAGGAAAAAGCAAAGACATGTCAAGTGAAATAAGCTGGGCACAGAAAGACACACCACGTTCTCACTCAGATCAAAGTTCCAGAAGCAAGCAGTAGAACGCTGGCTACCAGGGAGCGGGGTGGAGGATAACTGGACAAAGGATATAAAATTTTACTTAATCAGGTGAAGAAATTCTGAAGATCTAAGGCAGATCACAGGAACTATAGCTGATAATAAAAGATACTTGTAAATTTCTCAGAGGAGGTTTTATGTTCTTATCACAAAAAATGGTGATATGTTAACCAGTTTGATTTGACCATCCCCATGTGCATAATGTATGAAAACATCATGGGTACACACCGTCAATCCACACTGAAAAAACAAATTTAATAAAATCCCTCTCCTGCCATGACACGTCCCTCTGAGTTGTGGTCTATACTGCTGTTTCCCTAAAAACTCCTCTCTGATAGCCTGTCCATCTCCACCAGCAGGTTGAGCCAATGCTGATGCCCAGGAAAACATACTGTGATGAACCAGCCAACCAAAGACCCTGCGCCACTGTCCTTCGACCCAGAAAGGCTCAGCACACAGCAGACAGCCAGGGTGCCGGGGGGCTCGCCCTCGGATCTACCCATCTGGAAACATGGGTCATTCTTCTGAAAGAATTTTGTGAAGATCATCTTGGGCTGGGCACAGTGGCACCTGCCTAAGATCCCAGCGGCTTGAAAGGCTGAGGCAAGAGGATAGTGAGTTCAGAGTCAGCCAAGCCAGTGAGACCCTGACTCTAAATGAAATACAAAATAGGGATGGCCCTGTGACTCAGTGGTGAGCACCCCCAGCTCAATCCCTGGCAACCCCCTCCACTACCACACAAAAAATCATCTTGGATGAGGAGGTAGTAACAATGGCAAATATTTTGTAGGTTCTATTATGTGCCAGACATAATTCTATAAATGAGGGTGGGAGGGAGAACACACACCCAAGTGAGAGAGGTATCAAGACTTCAGGAAATTCTTTGTGAAGACAGCAGATTGTCTAAGCAAAAGAAAATAAACAATCCAGGTGCTTTAAAAAGGCCTGAAGTGTCTGTGCTTGATGGTGCAATGTAGGGTCCTGGTGTGCAGCCGTAACTACACTCTCCACCTACTGCTGAGCCCCAGAAGGGCTGAGGTAAGGCTTCAGTCCTAGCACACAGCAAGCAGGGACGGTGGGGGGGGGGCAGGAGAGACCCACCTTGAGCCACCTAAGGATCCCTGAGTGCAGGGTCAAGCAGGGGGCAAGGACCAAACCCCACTTTCTCCCACTTTCTACTTTTGCTTTTCTGATGACCTCTGAGGGAAAGAGATCCCAGCCAGGGAAGGTTCAAGCAGAATTTAGCCTTCTGACAAGTTAGATTTTGAAAACAACCAGAGACACTGAAAGGCTCAGCCTGAAGTCTCAAAGTGGATGGAAGTGGCCAAACTTTAAATTTCTGTGAGTTTACAGACTCGAAAGACAGACCCAAAATCAGGGATCAGGGGTCACTTTTGTCATTTCAACAAAAGGAAAACATTTCTTTCAATCTTGGTTGGTGTTTTCCTCTTCGTGGGTAACAGAACCTGCACGTATCTGGTAATTCACGTGGGCAGCGTAAAACTGGCCATGGCAGAGCATCCCACGCCAGGGGAACAGGCAGCCGCAGCTCAGTGTCCTTCTCCCCAGCCAGCTACAGAGCATTCCTGAGGCTGGTGGTGGAGGGCAGTAGTGAGGCTCACATCTCACTGCATGGCAGGACCACCCACCACAAAGGCCAGTCATGACCCAGTTCCTCAAAACTGAAGAGTGTGGGCTCTAGAGTCAGATGGGGGGATGCTCTAGGGTGCCCCCTTAGCAGGTACGTAACCTTGGGGAGTCCCAGCTTCCTCCTCAGGAAGGTGGGATACCAGGCCAGGTCAGCAGGCTCTTGTAGAAACCAAACGAGCAACAGCGTAAGTGCCCTGCCGAGCACCTGGCGTACGACAGGCAGTCCCCTCCTCATAAGCTGTCCAGTGCTTCCCTCCGCTGCAGCGAATCAGCGAAAGCGGAACTGCCGCAGTTCATCACTGGTCACTGGGAGACACTCTGTGCTTCTTTGAAAACATGCTTTGACAACCTCAAATCTAGGGTGTCATCGTTGACTCCTTAGATAGTGCAAGCTACACGCACATCCCCAAGATGCAGGCCAGGCACACAGCACATCAAAGAACCCCACCCAGCATGTCTCCAAGAGGGCACTGCTGGGGCCCCATGAGTCCGGCTCAGCCTTAACCTCCGAGTAACGGGGCACTACTATCGAGGCTATGGGGCCCACTCTAGCGTCCCCCAAATGTGGTCTTCCAGCACCATGAAGAAATTCCTGGGGAAAGTGCAAGGGTCCCACAAGGTGGTGCAGAGGGTATCAGAAGTCCAGACACACCGGACCCACCGTGGTCGTCAAGAGGACTTAGGGCCCCACAAGAGGAACAGCGACAGGGTAACTGATCTTCGGTCCAGAATACTACTCTTGGTAGCCACTGAAGCCCAGCGGCCTCAGACAGCACCTCAGGCGCTGCTTGTCGCAGGCAACCGTGCACGAGCCAACAGCCCACGGAAGCGCACGTTGTAGGCGTCCAGAGCACGTAGCCGACCCACCTCCCGGCTCGGGGGGGCTGCCGCCTCAGTGCTCTGGAGCTCCCACAGAAGACGCTCCCCTTCCTCATCTGCCATGAGGCTTTGGGCTGCCACTGAACCAAGAGGGAAAGACTTTTCTTTTCTAATGGCAACAAAGATTAGTCTCTCTCCTGAGAGGGACAGCGTGGGCCAGGGAGAAGCCCACTAGAGGCCTGAGGTAAGAAGCAAACACAGCCCTGTCAGAAACCGGCGGATGACTCAGGGAGAATGACCCTTCTCCGTCTTCAGGCCTCGGGTTCCGAGTCCACTTCACGGACAGGGTGAAATGGACCATGCTACATCCCAGGGCACTTGGGCAGAATCTTCCATCTCGATACTAACAGCAAGTGCCCTCACCTGGTAGAGCCGAGAAGGAGGTTCTAGTTACCCAAATCCATCTCCCAAGGTAACAACCACCCGCCCACTGAAATTTCGAGACATCCAAGTGGATTTGAATGCCAAAGTAAAAACTGAGATTTCTGCTCCTTTAGCTCCAACCCCAAAATGAGCATTTAGAAATTACCAGTAGCTCCGATGTTCCCAGTACATCTAAGGTCAGGGACTGCATCCTGGAATAGTGGACTCCCAGCTCGCGGTGGATTCCAGAACACTCAATGCAGGTCAGAATGCCCAGGTTGGTGGAAAGCCACGTAGGATCTGCCAAAGAGAATAAGACAAATTTAAGCGATTGGTTGGAAGAGGGCAGAAGACAGAACTGCTTTCCTGCTGGTTACTGAGTGGGGGCTTTGAACCTGAGTACTTCCTGATCTTTGACACAAATGGAATCCTTGACTAATACCACTAGTTAACAAGCCAACCCTAGGTAGGGACACGTCTGTCCTCCTTTCTCTTCCCTCTTCCTCCACCTCCCCGTCCTTCCACTCATTTAAGTGACAGGTGTTGTAAGTATGAAAATACGGAGGGCACAGTGCTCTCAGGAGACTCTGGGTTCCTCCAGGATGGGTCCTGAACACAGACTGTGCCATCACCAACCTAGTCAGACAGGCAGGACAGAGCAAGAGCAAACATGACCCACCAAAGCCTAGTACTATAAGGAACAGAGCCAGCACATCCACACCTACAGATGCTAGTAACAGAACAACCAGCCCGCTTACGACACGCTGGGTTCAGTGCTTCAGTAGTAGCAACAATAGCGTCCGTCCATTCTAAGAGCTTCAGAAGTCAGAGCACTTTTGTACCATATCTCATTTAATGCCACCAACAGCCCCAAGAGAAGACCAGGATAGTGATTCCCTGTGCAGCCCAGGCAGCACAATTCTTAGACCAAAGTTGCTAGCAGGTACGCAGCAGGCTGCAGTCCTGCACGTGCCTGAGCTCAAACCATATCTTCCCCACATGGCAGGTTTATTCCTCACTGAAACACCCTACTCTGTGCTAAATTTACAAAAGAGTAAAACGAATTAAACTGAGGTGTACTTGAGCACATCACCATGTCCACGAGGTTGATTCTTAAAATTGCTTGCTGCCCCTTTGAAATTCGCAGCAGGTAAACACAATCTTGGTCACTAAGTAATTGTGAAGTTATTTTTTAAATGTTCAAATTATAAACAGTTTATCCACATCAGGAAATACTCCTGGGCATGTGTGTGTGCACGGGGCCTCTTCTGCTTTGTGCACTGGGCTCTAGGCAGTGACAGGCATGCCTTAGACGATGCTCATCAAGTTTTTACACCATCTATGGTGCCTTAATATTTTAAAACAATGCAGCTTTACCTTCTTTATGAAAGTGTTTCACTCTCCTTATCTTATCCTTATCAAGAAAGTGCAAAATTCACTTCTTATCTCTCCCTACCTCACCTCCTGTCAAAAAGATATTTTTTAAGAAGGAGTCCAAAACCAAATGTAGCCTTCAGGGACACAGGAACCTGATGGCACTCCTCGTTGTTGTGGGTTTTGACTGCAGTACGAGGGGTTGAACCCAGGGCATTCTACCACCGAGCTATATCCTCAGCACTTTTTAAAATTTCATTTTGAAACAGGGTCTCACTGAATTGCCTAGGCTGTCCTCAAACTTGTAATCCTCCTGCCTCAGACTCCTGAGTAGCTGGGATTACAGGTGTGCACCACCTTGCCCTGTCTTAGTTGTGTTTTTAAATAAAAATGGTCGTAGAATTAGGAGAATGAAAAGGCTGCTGACCATTCTAGCTAAGCCACAATCTTTCCCATTTTGCAAATATTCAGAAAAGCCCATGCGTAGTGGCCTGATCCCCAGCATCTTCCATTCTAATTAAAACAAGTCAACTGCTTAAACATTTAAAAATACTAGTTGTAAAAAATATATGTCCATTAAAAAGAAGCCTCTGGTTTGCTTTATCAAAATGCAAACATAAGCATCTCGTGTCCCAGAGTGTGACAGGCAGAAGGACCTGTTCCTTCGTTTTACAGAAAGGAAAACTGACAATTCCCCAGAAGCTCGGCTCTTCCAGGAACAGAGCTAGACAGCGACAGACAGTTCCTCTGAAGGTTCAGGACAAAGGCGTGCTGAGGCAATCCTGGGTAGAGGCCCACGCTGCGAGTCCGCAGCCTCTCAGTCTTACCAGACAGGATGGCCTTGATTTCACCCTTGCTACGCCCTTCAGTTTTCATTTCTCAAAAAGCATGGCAATCTTTTCATCTCCACCAGGCCGCCGTCGCTCAGGGCTGCTCTGCGGCCTCTCCCACCCCTGCCCCACCGCGGCCTGCACACAGTTCATTAAGCATTTGTGTAATGGGATGAACTCAGGCTGAGCTGCACTTGATTTTACGTTTGAAACGAAAGTGAAAATCAATGAATGGGTTCTGTGAATTGGAATGGGATTTGAAGGTCCTGGAGCCCGGGACCGTGTGGGGCCCTGGATCACCTGGGGCCCCGCAGTCACAGCACACGTCGTTGCCCGTCATCTTCTGCACCTCTGAGATGATCTCCTTGGTCAGCTCCTGGACGATGTTGTTTTCCCCGGTGTTGTCGTCGCCCTTGAAGGCGTTGTTGAGAGCCTCCTCCTTGCTGTTCTGCAGCACGGACATCCAGCTAGACAGACAAGAGCAGGGAGTCACGCCCCAGGATGGCTGCGGGGTCTGCCCCAGCCTCGCCTCCGAGCGACTTACATCTGGCACTCCTGCTCGTCTTCTGCTTGGAAGTGGTAGGTCCTGTCATCTGCACAGCAGGAGGAAGCGCGTCAGTCAGCAATCCATACCCAACCCCGAAAGAAGGTGGCCGATAATTAACCTCAGGAATAATCTGAGCTCTCTCTATAGAATTAAGCAGTCCCTCTGCCCCTGCTCAGTCATCGTGACTTTGTAATGGAAATTAATAATCCTGCCCCATCCCCCACCCTTCAAGTCTAAAAGCTGCAGCTTCCAGAAACTGAACAGAAACCATCACTATCCCTTCAGAACCTTGATTTGTTAAAATCACTGCAGAGGTGGCCCCAAAAGTAACTGTGGAAGCCTTTTGAAAAAACAAAAGATTTTTCTAAAGAGAATGCCTTGGAGAAGTTTTCTTTAAAAAAGAAAAATAATAAATAATAAAAATAAAAAGATGAGTACTGTGTGAGAAATTCTAAGAATTCCTGGTCTGGGAGTCCTGAGTTACAAAGAGCTAAGGCAATAGGCCACTGTAAATAATGGTTGTAGACAAGATGGGCAGCTGGCGTCAGCAGTGGTTTACAAGTGTTTTGCCGGGCTGCTGGCCCTCTGTGTGCGCAGGAGGGGGCGTGTGAGGCGACAGCTTCTCTCTGTGCTATTCTTGCCAAAAACACTTAACCTCGGCTCAGTTGTGAGAAAACATCAGAGAAACCCAAACTGAGGACATCTGACCAGAAGCTGATCAATATTCCTCAACACACATGTCAAGGACACAAAATGGAAGGGAAATCTGCAGAACTGCAGGGGTCCCGGCGGCAGAAAACCAAAGGCAAGGTGGGGTCCTGGAGGGGATCCTGGGGCAGGACCAGGTCGTTTTAGTAGAAAACGGATGAGATTTCCAGCGAAGAGCATCAAGCAATGTTAGTTTCCTGGTTTTCACAACACGACACACAGCTGAGAACGCGGGCTATGTCCTTCTGGACAATTCTACTGTGACGGGTACAGCAGGGGCGCTGGGGAGGGATACGCACCAGGTTCCAAAAGCAAAGTAGAAAAGAATTAAATCTGAGGATGACAGCAGGTGGATGACAGAATGGTGACAAGTAGTGACTGTTCTTGGGGACCCACAACAAACATCTTTAGAACCCAAAAGTGAGCCGACATGCCAAATTCCAGGAAGGTTTTTACTCCTGAAAGTCCTCTGGTCCCCTTGGCAGGGTGTCTGGGAGGGGGCCGAGGCCCAGAGAGGTTAAGAGGCAGAAACCAGCGTAGCCAGCAGAGGACCCGGGTTTCCTGCCTCCTGGCCCCACCCCTTCCCACTCTACCAGGCCATCTTTCTGTTTCTTATCACGCCAGGGGGAATGGAATGACGTTTTTCCCTGTCCCGCTGGTTTCCGAGAAAAGGAACAAGGTTCAACTGATCTGTTTCAAGTTTAGAAAAATGAACTTGATTCTGGGATGCAGGTGATGGGGGCTGAGCCACGCTCAAGTGTTGAGAGAAACAGGCAAGAGGGGACAGAGCCACCGCTCCAGCACTCCAAAGGCTTTGCTACGGGAGTCTCAGAATTCCCAGAAAGCTGAGGCTCTGCAGGTAACACCAGTATTGTGGCTCACCCTGAACTACTTCACGGTCAGGCAGGACCAGCTCGGGTACACCCATGACAAACGCCGCTCTCTAGTGTTTGCAGGAGGCAAACTGTGAAAAGCTCCAAACAAGCATCCCCGCTGCAGACCCTCCAGACACACTGGAGCCACAGCCGGTTTCCAGCAGCTCCACCACAGAAAGAGGAGCAGCAGGAGCCACAGGACAACAGAGTGATGGTGGTGGCCCATGGGGCTGCTTCTGGCCCAGGTTCCACCAAACATCACATGGAAAGCTGGGTCCCCTCCACCCACCTGGGCTGGTTATGTGGGTCAAGAAAAATGACTCAGGATTTGACTTTGCAAAGGGCGGTCAGTCTGACGGCAAGAAGTTAGGCGAGCTTCCAAGGCTGGCCTTGCCGCAGATGCGTCCTCCCAGAGGAGCTGTGCTTGCTGACCTCTGGACCAGCACGGGAGGTCCCTGGCTGGGGCAGAGTGGACAAGGAGGATCTTGCAGGCACGACCTGAAGGTAGCAAGTCAGTCTGCTGGTCTTCTGCAGGTGATGATGGGGAAGGGGCGACTCTGGGTGCTGACAGATCCATACCAGAACACGTCCTCACTGCCTGCTGTGTGGCTTGCTCATTTCCCAACTGCCCAACTGTGTGGAGAGCTCAAAAGCACCTGGTGACCCTCATCCCACTAGCCAGGTCAGGGGGCAGAGGAGGCATCAAAAGAACAGGGTCCCAACTTCTCGGGATGCTCACATCAGGCCCCTGACCGCTGTGCACATCTCCCTCGATGATGCCCTGGCGCTGGGCTGGTTTTCACGCCTAAAGAACCCAAGCCTACAGGGCACCACACAAAGCATTTCCTCTATGACGCCCGGAGGGGAGTGGGACATTTGGAAAAAGTAACTAGAGATGAAAACTGAGAAGGACTAAAATCATTTTACCCCCAGGGGACAAGTAGGGAGGGGAATGAGAGCGCTCTCAAGCATGACCATGGGCGAGCTCACAGCAGCACCTCCAGCCGGACTTAGCCCTCTGCAGCCCACAGAGGACCGCCACACAGTCATCAGGCTTCAGGCCACAGCAGACATGACAGGATCTGCGTAAACAGGGGTGTAACCAGACGCAGGCGGGCTCACCTCCCTCCATGCCTGGTGGGGGGCTGTCAGGCTCTGACTCTCCTGGTGCCTGGTGTGTTGAGGGCCAGGGCAGGCTCTGCAGTAACTGCTTCTGCACGTGTGGCATTTGCTGGGGTCCCACCAGTTGTGCTGCTGGTGACTGGGGACAGATGAGGCAGTGCTACATCTACCTCTGTGTGAGCCAAGCTCAATGGGCTACCAAGTGCTAATGTGTTACCAAAGGGCACTTTTGCATAGCTTTCGATTGGCTACAATTTCAGAATGTGGAAAACCTCTGAATCTTCCCCAGACGCTAGCAGACATCCGGTCACAGCAACTAGTGTGACCCAGTAATGATCACAAATAAAACTGTGGTCAAGGTTGTGGCTCAGTGGTAGGGCACTCGCCTAGCACGTGTGAGGCCCTGGGCTTGATCCTCAGCATCACATAAAAATAAGTAAATAAAATAAATGTAATCATGTCGAACTACAACTAAGAAATAAATATTTTTAAAAAATCAAAAACTGTGGTCAATGCTCAGCATTTCACAACACTGTAAGTGGAGGAAGGATCCCGGAGAAAGCTTTGCTGGCAGAGATAAGGGAATCTGTGGACGCACTAGATGGATGGGGTGGGGGCTCAAAACAGAATCAAGTTCCCTTGTATTCTACAAACCAGTCCAGTGTCTGGATCACACTGCTCACACCTCCCAAGACCCTGGGTTGAGAAGGGGCACAGTGGGGAGATGAGCAGACACAGTGGAGACGGCAGCCATCATCTCTTGAGTGTGCTGTGAACATCTGATCACATGACTGAGTCCCTGGACCTCACAGGGCAAGTCTGACCAGCGGCTCTCCTGCTGGGCACCAGGGTGGGCAGCACAGGCCCACGATGTGGGCCAAAACCCCTGTGGCCACATCTTTGAAGGGGAGACTGAACCTTCCCTCTCTGAAACGTAACCCTGCCACTTTGAACAACCAAGGACAAGAGGCTTAGCACATTTTCTTCAAGACATCACGAACCCTTCTCTTTTGGGTGCTGGTAGACATTCACCATAACGGACGGTTCTATGGGGACTCCTGTGTGCTCCACAAAGAAGAAAAGCACCCAGAAGCAGAAAGACCAGTTCCCTGGTGGGAATGACTAACCATGTCCAAGACCAAAGTTCCAAGGGCTCCACTGAAGAGACTTTTTCGTTTATAGCATTTCTAACATGATGCAAATAAACCAAGGAAGCTCTCAACAACAAAACTGTCCTTTCAGGGGAAAAACCAAAAGGTGCAGAACTTCAGACCTGGGGCGGCACCAATGCAACCTCCTATTTGCAAACAGGAGAGCCGAGGCGTGGAGAGCTGAGAGGCTGCCTCTGGGTTTCTGAGCCCTGAGTCTGACCCTAGGCAGGAGAGACTGGGAAGCCAGCAACCACGAGTGGGAAGCCAGAACAGGCCGACCACTCCAAACAGGGGCATTTCTCTTCCAACCTCAATTCTTCTAAATGCAGGGTTTGACATGGGACTGACGCCCTGGAAGAGCGTTTAAAGTAAGATCTCCAGGGCCCGGCACCTCCGGACGCGCTTACGTGAGATAAGGTCAAAGCACTTCTTCTCCTCGGGGTTGGTCTTCACTTGGCAGGTTAACAGGTTGAGCTTTGCAGGAGGCCGGTTAGCCTGATTAAAAACAAACGAAAAACAGGGCGTGAGCGGGAAGGAACAGGTCACCATCTGCCTCGCTGCTCACGGACGCTCAGCGGGAGAGAGCAGTTTTAACAGTCTGCAGGGACGACACTCAGAGGCAGTCTTCAACACGGGCAGCAGGACTGAGACTTTAGCCCCACACAAGGACCACCGTCCTCCCTGCCAGGGCTCACTGGTGGTCTACACAGCCTGCCGGCACAAGGGGTCCGCCCTGCCAGGGCTCACTGGTGGTCTACACAGCCTGCTGGCACAAGGGGTCCTCCCTGCCAGGGCTCACTGGTGGTCTACACAG